AGAAAACATGAAAAACAACACAACAAGTAATCGTGAATGTTTTGTAAGCTATAAAAATATAAATATTGATTAGATTTGTTTATTTATTATTGATCTGTTTTAATATTGGACCTGCAAATCTTCAATTGAGCTGTCTAACGAGTTAACAGTTTATTAATAAAGTACTTTTCAATATAAAACTCCGTTGAAAAGAAGAAGCAAATGTAAAAGCAGAGAATAGGTAGATTAAAAATGCATAAAAGATAAATTTTATAATAGAGGTATTGAAATTTAGAAAACGTCAACATTTGACGTTTCCAGTATTTTACCAAACCGTTCCGTATCAAACCGATGTTTCAGGAACCGCTCTTTACCGTAGTTTACCGGTCTGTTTCGCCTGGTTTTGCAACGGAATACAGCCTAAGATAATCGATGGACAAACTTAATTTCCAGTAGTCTTTTGAATTTTATTTTCATTTCTACTCATGGAGGTCTCGGGTTCTTGTTCTTCACTTAAAATTCTTTTCCGGAATGTTGCTGCTAGTACTGTAACGTTTTTAGTCCGTTACATGTCTTTTTTATATATGTGATATATGATGTCTGGCGTATCGTCACCCGATACCGTATCGTTCAGGCCTGATAATTTATTTGACGCGCTTGGCGTAATTTTCTAGTCCGCAACCCTGCTATCGTTTCACTGTTCTGTGAAACCGCGGCTTTTAGAAATGGTAATTATTTAAATCTTGCTGTATAATCTGAATCAGCTGCTATTTCAAAGCAACAGGTAAAGATGAGATATTATCCTTTTAGATTCGATATTATTACTGCATATTTTTAGGGTAGAGTTTTGGATGTCCCAACTTAACCTGTATTTGTATTTTGGTGGCACGTTGGCGTCCCTTTTCTTTTGTCCTCCAGAATGTTACATTGAAGAAAGGACAGTTCTTTTGTTTATTATTGAGCCCTCGGAAGTGTTTCGAGGTAGGTTTATTTTGCTTAGTAGATCTTGTTTGGTTTTAAACAAGAGATTCATATTTTTTGGGTCCAAGGTTATTTTGGGTTTAAGGTACGGATGTCCTGTGGGCGAGTGTCCCAGTAGGAATGATTTTTCTTACATATAAAGTGCCCCAGCGTGGATGTAGCTTGAGCCCCATGCTGCTTCGTTCCCATCTATAAGCTAGATAGTAGTTACGGCTGTATCATTTCATGGTGTCCTCATTCTGGCCCCTTTTGTTGTATTGGATGGCCGAGTACAGAGATGCGAGCCCACCCCACGCTGTTACTGTTTGAAGCAAGATTACATAAAGAACAGCTAAGTGTAGATTTAAGTTCTAGTTTTACATTTAACATCTAAAACATTTTCAGTCTTAACATAATAACGTACATCTTAAATAATATCGTACAGACTATGTTTAGTGGTTAGATCGTCAAGAACGTTCATGTCGATTTATTATTTAAAATATGATACAGATCTTAAGTTTCATTACATTACGTCTTATAATAGTATTACTTTCATAGATATTATTATTGCATTATTTTAACAGATCAATAACCAAACATAGATTCTAGAATCTACGGGTTGCAACATCTTCGATTTAACATCATATAAAATATATCAAATTAATTAAAGTAATGCTACATGTCATATATTCTCTTAATCTTTACATGTCTTGTATTTTATCATAGTTGTTTTCATAGATATTTAGTACAATTCTTAACACCACTTTCTTTGACATATAACCACTATATATTTATTAGAACTCTACAATGTGATGTACCAACAAAGAACATCATGAATAAATATAGTCATTAGTTTTAAGTAATATACAACTGTGTTTTCTTTCTCTGTACATGCCTGGCGCCCAATATCTATATTTTTTTGTTTATTGTTATTGATTAGTTTTCTCTCTAGTGAAATACCTTATCCACGACTACTCTCCGATGAAAAGCTGCCGTTCGCAGTGGTAATGTTTTATAAAAAACGCTACAGTACTGGTACTTGGTTTACCTTCCAGGAGCAGCATTTACCTTCCTTTTTGAGTAGCTATTTCGTTTTTTTCTTTGGAAAGTGACTCTTCAATGTGACCCTCAGCTATACATTTGAAGACTTCCATACTCCATGACGTTTTAGCTTTAACATGTCTGCCCTAGATTCCACAAGCAGTGTTGCAGATCTGCGGAAATAATGTCCTGTATATTCCATTGGATCTTTAATACTAAGGTTAGGTCTTTAATACTAAGGTTAGGCAATATATAATAGCTCTAAAAGCCTAAAGGTTCATCGCTTGATTGATTATCTTTCTCCATTTGTTTCTGTCTTTCGCCTTTATTCTCCACCCATCCACTCTTATCCTTCTCAAGTCCTCTTCAATATCCTTTTTCCATCTGGTTCTCAGTCTCCCCTTCTTCTCTTTCCACTTAATTTACGTTTCATTATCATATTAGGAATTCTTGCTTCAGACATTCTTTAAATGTGTCCCAGCCGTCTCTGTCTTTGTGCTCTTGCTACTTCTCTTATACTCGGTGCCCGATATAGTTGTTTTAATTCTTCATTTGTTCTTCTGGTCCATATGTTGTCTATCTTCTTTAATCCAAAAATCCGTCTTAGTATTTTTCTTTCCCAAATCTCTAGCCTCGAACTTTCCGTTGCATTGAACGTCCACGTTTCACATGCATACAGCACTATTGGTCGTATCATTGTTTGGTACATTCTGATTTTTAAACTTCTAGAGATGTTCTTACTCTTAATAATTTTCTGTAGTGCCTAAAAACATCCATTTCCTGCCATTATTCTTGCCACAATTTCTTGAGTTACATTTGGTTTCCTTAGAAATACGGCTCCTAGATTTCGCAATGTCACTAGGAATTTTACTGAAAGTATTTACTCCAACAGGTTGTACTGAGAACCTTCCATTAAAATATCTTATAAAAAATCTATTATGGCTGGTAGATTGAGGACGAAGCAATGCATATTTGCGATACATTTCAACTATAATAAGTTAAATACTAATTATATTTTCTACAAGACGATAAAATGGTATTTTATCGTCGACCTAAAAGATAAATGAATGAATGAAAATGAATTATAATTTTAGGAGACGATAATGCAATTTTATCGTCGTGTATACAACAATATTTTTTTCCATAGCGAGTTACGTTTTAAAAAATATTCAGAAATTATTATTTCAACGAATTTATTACGAGTAGAAAAAATATTGTGCTGGGTTGGTGGTGGTTTCTATGTAATTTGACAAATAAATAAAGCTGTCTCTTTAGTTGTCAGTTTTGAGTCAATATTTTTTAATTCTCTTTCGTGTCGATTGCTGATTGAATTGGAGCCAGAAATGGCTCAAAACGAAATAAGTAAATTGCCAAAAGATATTGAGGCTGAGGCCGCAAACGCCATATCCAAACTACTTCCATTTAAATCTTGAATAACTTATGAAAAGAAATACAAAAATTTTCAAAAATGGAAGCGATTAAAATACGTGCGAGAAGAAATAAAGTTTTTAACCGATCCTCGCTGTTAAAGTATCATTTAATCTACCCTTGTGGTTAAAGTACTATTTTATCTAGGTACTATTTTGATAGATATAGGGCAATTTTAACAGTTACTATGGAAAAAAGCAATAAAACTTCTGATTTTACGGCTTATTACAAATGATCGAGGTTTGTTCGTCTTGCTATCACAGGAATTCTCACAATTATTTTCGAACCCGTTTCATTAAGATCATTTAATATTAGTTTCTGCAACTCGTCCCTGCTGCATGCTTTTGAACGCCAAATACTGCAACTATCTACAGTAATATAAAAAAAATAAGAAAATTTTATGTAGTTAAACACTGTAGTGTTACCTTCATCATAAGATATTTATGATCTGGAGCTTCAGTTGAAAATTTATCAAATTCCTGCCGGGTAAAATTTTTTGATTTCTTCGGACGGAATCCTACAGATTTCTTCTTCTAAAACAAACTTTGTGGTGCACCCCTCAATGACCCGTTTATAACAAATTTCATACACCTTTTTACATTTGTCGGGTAATAAATCTGTCGTAGCTTCATTTGCTATTTCAATTATCTGGAGGGGTACCATGCAATAATTTCTTGGTCGCTATCCGAGCTCGACATTTTTAACAGCTTACAGCAAATCACGTAATACAATGTTTTCAACTGACTACTTAAAAATTACTATGATTAACCAATTGGAAGTTTGAGGGTTGGATTCCTGGGCAAAGCCAATTTATTTTTTAACTTATTAATTTACTTACTTACTGTTTTTTATTATAAAACTTTATAGCGACTAACAAAAATATACTTGGATTAGTAACAATTTGGATTAACAAAATCAAGGTAAATTTTTTTTCTCTATAGTTAAACTCGTCATTAATAATGTCAAGTTGTTTTTTTTTTGCTCTAGTGTAAAAGATTTTACTTTTAATACAGTATATAGAGGGTGAGTTTCCTAGTCAAGAAAGAAAAAAATTGGCTATAACCCAGTAATTTTTTGAAAAAAAAACATGTTATAGTTTATATCGCTGAAAAGCATAAAAATGGCGCTTTTTATGAAGTCATGGCGAACTATGGTTTCCCTTTAAAAAAACATATGTTTGTGTCATGTGTCAAAAATGACAGGCTTTAGAAAAAATCGGAGAACACAAATTCATTAGAGATGTGATTATCTACAAATTTTATCTGAAAACTTTTTGTCTAAAATAGATTATAAAGGAATTAGGGACAGTTTTTAAAAGAGCCAAAATTTGTTTTTTTTCGAAATATCTAGTAAGCCATGAACTTTTTCAAAAATCTGAAAGGCGCATATTTATGACCCCACAAAACTGCAATTCTTTTCCCATTTAACCGACTCTCTATCTCCAGTAATTTCCGAGATACCCATAGAGAACATCGAAGGAAACTCACTCTGTAGTGTAGAAAATAGATACTTTTTGCACTATCGTAGAAAAAAAAATTGATTGGATATTTCTTCTAGATAATCAAAAAAAAATAAAACACATATGTTCTCAGTGTAATTTACTTAACTGCCTATAAATAATAAAAATAAATTAATAAATAAACATTCTTCTTAACATCTACGTGCTATTTAGGTAGCTTCATTTTGTTCGTATTGAATCGTAGTTGTAATCTCTGTACTTTCTGTAAGTACCTCTAAGGTACTTTGCGTTGTTGAGTTCGATGATTTTGTAGTGGACTCGCTTGTGGAAATTTGAGTAGTCGTTTTTGTTGGCTTCCTGGTTGTTGAGTACTCCGATCTTTCACAGTTTCTTCCATAAGTACCCTCTCTACACATGCATTTATAAGAACCATCTTCTTTAAGTAACGAGATACATTTCGCGCCGTTCTTGCAAGTTTCGTTGTTTTTTTCGCAGTAGTTTAACTCTGAAATCAATATGATCATTAATAAAATGAAATTAATTTATTTCTGCTAAGTGCCACATTTTTTAGCACTATTTTCATATTTCTTTTAGCAAACTGTATATAAAGATATCTATTTTAATTGGTAAACCCAGTTATAAACTTTTTTATTTGTCTTATTACATAGGGTTAGTCGAAGGGTTCTTTTTTACAATAACTTTAAAATACCCTGTGCAATAATTTCGTGAGTAATTTTCTTGAAACATTAATTTTTCGGTCATATCAATACAAGCCTTAGTTAATTTTTAATAGCGAAATGAAAAAAAAAGCTAAAACCAATACAAATATTTCTTGGCTAGATACATAGCCTTGGTTAAATAAGTATTTTTTAATTTAAATTAATTTGGTTACACAGTTTAACAAAATAATATATTGTTTTATTAGGAGTAAAAATGACACTTTTTGTGGCGATGCTGTACGTTTGACATACAGTCGAGGCAGAAAAAGTCATTTTTACTCCGAATAGAACATGCTATTTTTTTTTCAAACGCCACAAATAATTTTTTCTACGACTAGCCTAGAAAATGCAGTTTGACACACGGAAAACTCGATCTGAAATTTGCGTTTTGCAAACTGTCGTGTGATAAGGATTTAGCTCACGATATATGTCTTATTGTACACGACATGTGTCAATTTTAACATTTTTAACCACCAATATTTAGCTGAAACGCCAAACGCAACGCAGCCGTCAGAAAAGTGTCATCATTACATCGCGAATTATTCCACAAAACTGGCAAAAATTGAGTGAGTCTGCTGCTAATTTGTAGTCGTAGAAAAAACAGCGTAAAAAACTCGTTCGAAAACTTCTATGTACACTCGTTCGACTTGTGGCTCTTGCCTGTGGCTCGAACCAACAAACTGTCGAACTCGTGTGCATAACGTCGTTTTCGAAACTCGTTTAATATACTATTTTAAACGTTCCAAATAATATAATAAATATTTAAAGGCATACCTCGTATGTAAATTATACAGGGTGGTCCGAACTGTATTCCGGAAACTTCGGAAGCATACTCTGCAGATAAAAATAAGTAAAAAAGTTCCTTTAAATATATGTCCTAAAATGTTTAGTTTCGGAGATACAGGGTGTAGAAGTTTCATTTTTATTTTTATTTTTTTCAATTCATTTCTGAAGTGACGTCAATATTTAGAAGAAAATTGGTATCTTGGTGTTTTTTGACAGGAGAAATTTTATTCTGATGTCAATATGACTCCTACTAGTAGAGGGCGCCACCTACCTACTTTTTAACTAGTTTGAAGAGTAATAGCACAGAATATCTAGCTACGCAACAGAAAAATACTCGAAATGAAAGAGCTAAAATTGCACAAATAGAATACTAGATGGCGCGACAATATCATAATCAGAATATAATTAGAAATTTTGAACTTTCGGTTTTGGATCGACGTAGATCTACGGCACGTCGACGGCCTTGAAGCTCGGCTAAAAATGCACAATTGCCAGATTCAAAAAGACTTGAATTGGCATCCCATTCTTTTTATTGTGTATAATGCAGTATGTGTTTCTTTCTATTCTTCTTTTCTTGTCAGATACACTTATATTAATTATTCCTTTGGCTATTAAAATAGTTTTAAGTATATTATTACAAAACATATACATTTTTAATATACAGTACCTTATAATGTTAACTAAGAAAATACCTTTAATTACCTTTAAAATTAATAATATACAGGGCGATTGATAGTGATATTTATTAATGCTGGAACCTGGAACGTTAGTAATGAAATATAAGTTTAATAATAATGGAAATAATTTATTAAAATGCAGTACAAAAAATGTTAACTGACTAAAAAATACTATAATAACAAATTTCTTCCGTTTTCTTCACGACATAAAACAATAAATTAAAATTCGTAAAATAAATTAAAATTATTAATTAAATAAATCTTTATAAAGAAACGCAAGTATACCAACTATATTATGGTACCACTCGATATGCTTTAAGGTACCATGATATTGCAATGTCACCGAAGATCCGTAGTATACCAAATTTAAGAATAATCGAACGCCATGAAATGGTATCGTAATATGGTACTATATTAAGGTACCACTTTATATACATCATAGTTCAATCATATTACAATGTAACCGAAGATACGTAGTATACCAAGTTTATACATAGTACTATATTATGGTATCACTTGATATGCTTCTGAAAAAAACGGCGTCCAGTTGGCTGGAAAAGGACGATCGATGACATTTCCCATATAAATTTACATATAAAATGACAGCGATATTCATTTCATAGCTATCGCTAACGCCGTTTTTTCCCGATTATACAATATGAACTTGGTATGAACACAATCGATCGTCAGGAAGTGGTATCATAATAGTAGAACAATACTTATTATATTGTCGCCGAATTAAAATGAAAATTCAGGATTCAATTATACAATCAAACGCGAGGAAGTGATTGTAATTTAGCTCATAAGATTTAATTCCAACTAACATGGCCAACTGAAAAAAAACAGCTCTGATCTATTTTAATATGTTTAAATGATGTAGCAAATTTGAAGGTAGGCTTTATCAGGAAGTATTACGATATGAATTACACAATGGCAACACTGCACAAAATTCTTTAAAATTTTGTTTGTAGAAAACTGTTTTCTTTTAAATTTATTGCCCTCTATTATGTAGTAGTGAAACTACCACATCAAAATATCTGATTTGGAGACAGGCTTTTAAAGCCTGTCTCCTTTTGCTACCTACAATTTTATACATGTAACGAGGCTTCTGTTGCGTAGCTAGATATTCTGTGGTAATAGTGGTAATAACTTTTCGTCCGTACCTGTATAAAACTAATGAATAAAAAAGTATACATTTACGATGTTTTTAACGTAAAAAAGGTCTTTTGGTTAAAATCGCTACGATTAATGGTTTTCGAGATATTTGGAATCTAAATTATCAATATATACATCATTGACACAAATTAAGCATGTTGACTAAATAGTTATTAGACTGAAATCATAAATTTGAAATATGTTTGTGTCAAAAGTTCAACAGAAACTGTTTTATCATTATTTTTTGCAAAAATGATTAATTAAAAAAAAATAAAAATTACCAAATTTATTATTTCAGTGAAATAACTAATGTACTCAGTGTGTTTATTTTTCGTCAATAATGACATGTATTGGCTATTACCATTCCAAATATCTTGAGAACGGTTGCTTGTAGCGATTTTTACAAAGAGATATTTTTTACGTAAAAAATCACAGAGATGTAAATTTTTTCCCTCGGTAGTTTTATACAGGTACGGACAAAAAGTCATTACGCTTCAAAGCAGTTAAAACACATGCAGGTGGCGCCCTCTACTAGTAGGAGTTATATTGACATCAAAATCAAATTTCTCATGTCAAAAAACTCCTAGACACCAAATACTTCAGAAATTATTTGGAAAAAATCGAAATAAAATTAAACCTTCTACATCCTGTATCTCTGAAACTAAGCATTTAAGGACATACATTTATATAAACTTTTTTACTTATTTTTATCTGCAGAATATGCTGCTGAAGTTTCCGGAATACAGTTCGCACCACCTTGTATATCGAGAAACTATGGTTGCGCTCGTTGAATTTGACACTTTATGTCAGTTTAATAATATATTTTTTCGTGCTTTTATGCTTAGGCGTAAAAGTGCTTTATATTTTATTGTCAATCACGTCGCAAAAATTAATGCTTTTGTGACGTTTGAAAAAAATAATTTTTTTATGGTGAGTACCTTGTGAGTGCCTAATATTAAAAATGATATTAGTTATATTTTTTATGTACCTTCGTCGCATAACATGCCACCCCAACCTTTGGCACAGTTGCATTCCCATGGCTTGTTACATGTTCCATTGGCACATCCTGGATAAGCAAAACACTTGTCGCAGTTTTTACCCCACCAGCCAACTTTGCATCTAAAAAAAGAAATGATTCAATGTGTAAAGTAAAAAATAAGAAGTGTAAAAAATTTTAACATTGATTTGAAATCAACTAAGGGCAAAGAGTTCAAAATGAATGTTAAAATTAAATGTTACAGTCTAAAGGTTGTCGCCCACTAGACCGCTGCGCGGCGCGGCGCTGGGAAGAGTATTTTTTCCGGCTGCGAAGGAACTGCGCCCACTATAGCGCGCTTTTGAAACGCGGCAACGCTATTTAGTTATAGTCGAAGTGTTTTTTACTTACTGTAGTTTAGTTTTTAAAGCAATGAGTTCAAGTACGGACGAAAACGTATTTTTTGTGCTCTTCTAACAGAGGAAGAGGGGGTAAGGAAAAGTTTGGACTCATACGATTAACAAAAAAAGAAAGAAGTTTGGAGAATTTTACCATCTTTTTCCAGATTTAATAAAAGACAAGATCATTTTTTTCAGTATTACAAAATATAAAGGAAACATTTTACGCAGTCCTCAATTGAGGGTTTTAGAAGCAAAACACTGAGTATCTCTACTCATCATATTTTTTCAGAAGAGACAAATTACTAATACTTTTGATAATTCTTATTTATTCTGATGTGTATATTAGTTATGTGGTGAAAAAACCCTGATCTTTTTTATATATTTAGGTAATTAGAATTTAAAAATTGGAGATTGTCACTTTTGTTAAAAAGTGGAGATTGCCGGTTTTGCCTCTACACCCCTCAATTATATTAAATCTTTGATAGAAAGGCATTTCGTCCATCTGTCTCTAGTGAGGGAAGACTATAAATAAAAATTATCATATTCCTTTATGAAAATCGATTTGCCTAATTTACCTTTAAAAATACAATTCTACCAGTGATACGTATCACTAGTTCCTAGTCAAAAAGCCAACTGAAAAGACTCGAATGCAAAATTATTTCCCTTGTGAGTACGCACACTGCAACGCGTCAAAACGCGGGAGACGGAAAAAAGTTGCTACAGAAGTCTTCCGACTTCTTGACGGAAATCCCGCGGCGCGCTTCTGCGCTGCGCGCTCTAATGTGCGTTGGTCCATTTAAATACATGGCAAGCAGACAAAAGAAATTTCCACATGGCGCCGCGCCGCGTCGCGCCGCGGTCTAGTGGGCGACAACCTTTAAGGTGTACGCGCACTGAATCCATACCAGTCCGGCGAGAAACGGCGAAGGCGGTGACTCGACTATCGTAGATAGGTAGAGGTAGGAATCTGGCCTCTACAGGCCGAAATGTTTTAGTGGACGCCGGCGTCCCCAAGTAGCACGAAATATTGGCTGCTCATTGTTTCTATATTGGCTCAATATTGATTCATTTTCGTTCGCACATCAATGTTGTGCCAATGTTGGGTCAATATTGTATTTTATTCAGTACATCTAATCTTGGTAAACAATATTGTACCCATATTAGTTTCTTAGTTTTCGCCAATATTGAAAATAATCAATGTCGGCCCATGATTGGCATTAACAATATTTTATTGTGACATTGGCCCAATATGCCTTTTATATTGATGTTTTGGATATTGGCATTTACATAATTAACTAAATTGGAACAATATTGAAATGCATTCTGTTTAGAATAAAATCGCTACCTATAGTAGATATCGATACCTGGGTTGATACTTTGACATGTGGCTTGCATCCCTACTATCTCATGATTTTCATAAAAGTTTGCTTTTAAAATTCTTGCTCGATTCCTAAAGCATCTAGCGCCAAGGATCGATCGGGTATTTCGCGTGTAATCTATAAATAAAAAAAAACTTACACCAAAGACTAACCAAGGCGATTTGGCGTATTTTAATTTATTTTAAATAAATAAAGAAATAAATAAAAACAGCTGAAAAAAAAATAAAAAAAAGCTCTGCCTCTGCCGGGGCTCGAACCATCACCCGTCGCTCCCGAATCGGCAGCCTCAACCACGGAGCTACACGCTGCTTTAGAAACCAGACTCTATTGAAGCATTACTTTCTTCTGCCGTTCCAATACGCATGCGCCGGCGCCGGGTGATGCTTTGGAATCGCCGCGCGCCGGGCCGCGTTCCGGTACCTAGATCAGTGTTGCCAGATGTAACATAATTATCCAATTATTATAACAAAATTTTCCCAAAAAAAATCTGTACCATAATCGATAGTTGAAACATAATTTGGTAACCTGTTACAATTAATGTTTTATCAACCATGAAATATATTTTTATGAGAAATAATTTAACTTTAAGGTAGTTAATGCAAAATAACTCAAGTGGTTTTAAAGTTTAAAAAAAATGTTAAGGTATAAAGCAGTAAATATCCGCGGCAAATCAAGTAATTCCGATTTTAAAATGCGGGAAGAGAAACCAGACCCCAAAATATAAAACTGACTGAGAAAATACGTTTAATAGCTGGTTGAAACCTATTAAAATTAAGTTAAACCGACAAAAAATAGAATCCAAATTTATTGCTATCATTATATTTTTTAGAGAATTCCCTCAGCCAAATATATCGCTTGTAACATAATTTTATAATAAATTCGATACTTTGATCTACATTGATCCATAATTTCATATCCGACACCTGGCAACGCTGACCTAGACGCTTTTACTGACGAGTTGACATGACATAAAAAGCTGTTGCTGTGACAGTGAAAGATTTCTTTTGTAAGCAAATTGTGTTTTTATCGTGATCAAATCAAAGTAAGTACTGTTGATGTTAGTTGAGTAAGTATGTCGAATAAACCTATTCCAATGCTTAACAATTAACACGTATAATACAAGAAATATGTGCTATAGCTATAAGCTGTATTGTTTGTAGGTTCACGGGTACCTAGGTTTACAACTTACAACCACAGAAAATTTTACTGAATCCAGCTTGAAGAATATTTCTTTAGTAAAAGTAAGTACCTAATATATTTTTTTTTCCTGTAACACACAATAGTAGTTTTGAAGCAATGTGTAATCGAGAGTATAATTTATTAGATTGTTAGGGCGCTTTGTTAATAAATATTTTTAGATTCGGTATTGCTACTTAGGTAAATAAACAGACATTTTTTAGGTAAATGTCGGGAAAGGCAAAAAAATACAGGTTTGTTAAAAGTTTTCTTGCAAATAAAGATGAGTCTGACGGTGACAGTCCTACGAAACGCCTGGAAAGCCAGGAGAGCATTATACTTCTATCAGACGATAATACAAGTTCTATTAATGAAGTTAACACACAACTTACTAATATTGTTAATAATAGTGATAGCTGTCTTAGTTTTGTTTTTGAAGAGTCGGGGGACTTGGGGGCAAGCAATACACAGACTGTAGAGTTAAATTACGATTCCATATCAAATGTGTTAGAAAATCATAATCAGAATTCACTTGCAGATAATTTAAAATGTTGGGCTCTTACACACAATGTAAACCATAAACAACTAGTTGCACCACTGAATAAAACGCTCCTACTTCTAAGTTTCTGCCACTTTGCATAAACCATATTATGAGCATATCATCTCATCATATTAGAAAATAAGGCAAAACACAAAAAGGATAACCCAAAAAACTTTATATTATTTTATAGATGCAGTGAAAGTACATTTTCCAGACGCAACTGATCTGGACATTACGCGATGTATTGGTATTTCACTAGCGACAGCCGGAGACCGGGATGGGGGAAGAATATTTAGAGGTTTGTGTCCTTATAAATTTAATTTTATGTGTTAACTGAAGTATTTTTTAGCTAAAAATAATACCAGCCATGAAGATAATATGTAGGCTTATTTTATTACTTAGTTAATATTTTTGTAAGATAAATTGTTTTCTTCAATACATTAAAGTTTCCATACACACATGGGTATTTTGTTTTATGTTTTCCCTAAATTTGAAATAAAATTAAGGACAAAAACTAGTGGTATTATGATTACCAATGTTGGCGTAATATTACATTTTTAATGGGGGCAATATTTTAGTAACTTGTTGGACCAATATTTAAAAACAATGTTGGGCCAATATATCAAAAAGTGACGAATTATTATTGGCCCGATATTAAAAACTAGCTTGGCCCAATATATATTCTACATTGGATCAATCTTGGAACAATATTGTTGTGCTACTTGGGTCGTCTATATGTACGATGGTCGCAGTCGCTTTTGCTGGTCGGTCCGATCCGATGCAGTGCGCGCGGAGCCTTAAGGTTGTCGCCCACTAGAACGCGGCGCTGGGAAGAAATTTTTTTCCGGCTACGAAGGGACTGCGCCCACTATAGCGCGCTTTTGAAACGCGGAAACGCTATTTAGTTAGTCGAAGTGTTTTTTACTTACTGTAGTTTAGTTTTTAAAGCAATGAGTTCAAGTACGAACGAAAGCGTATTTTTTGTGCTCTTCTAACAGAGGAAGAGGAAGAGCAGATGAAGAAGAAAAGGAAAGTTTGGACTCATAAGATTAACAAAAAAGAAAGAAGTTTGGAGAATTTTACCATCTTTTTTCCTTATTTAATAAAAGACAAGAGCATTTTTTTCAGTATTACAAAATGTAAAGGAAACATTTTACGAACTCCTCAATTAAGGGTTTTAGAAGCATAACACCGGGTATCTCTACTCATCATATTTTTTCAGAAGAGACAAATTACTAATGATGCAATAATGAATCGCTTATAGCTGACGACTTTTGATAATTCTTATTTATTCTGATGTGTATATTAGCCTTGTTTATATATAAAGTCACATTCTCTTCGCTGCGGTCTAGTGGGCTACAACCTTAAAGGTTGTCGCCCACTAGACCGCTGCGCGGCGCCATGTGGAAATTTCTTTTGTCTGCTTGCCATGTATTTAAATGGACCAACGCACGTTAGAGCGCGCAGCGCAGAAGCGCGCCGCGGGATTTCCGTCAAGAAGTCGGAAGACTTCTCTAGCAACTTTTTTCCGTCTCCCGCGTTTCGGCGCGTTGCAGTGTGCGTACTCACAAGGGAAATAATTTTGCATTCGAGTCTTTTCAGTTGGCTTTTTGGCTAGGAACTAGTGATATGTATCAATGGCAGAATTGTATTTTTAAAGGTAAATTAGGCAAATCGATTTTCATAAAGGAATATGATTTTTTTTAGTCTTCCTCACTAGAGACAGATGGACGAAATGCCTTTCTATCAAAGATTTAATATAATTGAGGGGCGTAGAGGTAAAACTCGCAATCTCCACTTTTTAACAAAAGTGACAATCTCCAATTTTTAAATTCTAATTACCTAAATATATAAAAAAGATCAGGGTTTTTTTGATCACATAACTAATATACACATCAGAATAAATAAGAATTATCAAAAACATTAGTAATTTATCTCTTCTGAAAAAATATGATGAGTAGATATACCCGGTGTTTTTTCTTCTAAAACCCTCAATTAAGGAGTGCGTAAAATGTTTCCTTTATATTTTGTAATATTGAAAAAAATGATTTTGTCTTTTATTAAATCTGGAAAAAGATGGTAAAATTTTCCAAACTTCTTTCTTTTTTTGTTAATCGTATGAGTCCAAACTTTTCCTCACCCCCTCTTCCTCTTCCTCTGTTAGTAGAGCACAAAAAATACGCTTTCGTCCGTACTTGAACTCATTACTTTAAAAATTAAACTACAGTAAGTAAAAAACACTTCGACTATAACTAAATAGCGTTGTCGCGTTTCAAAAGCGCGCTATAGTGGGCGTAGTCCCTTCGCAGCCGGAAAAAATTCTCTTCCCAGCGCCGCGCCGCGCAGCGGTCTAATGGGCGACAACCTTAAGACTCCGCGCGCACTGCATCGGATCGGACCGACCAGCAAAAGCGACTGCGACCGTCGTACATATAGACGGCGCCGGCGTCCACTAAAACATTTCGGCCTGTAGAGGCCAGATTCCTACCTCTACCTATCTACGATAGTCGAGTCACCGCCTTCGCCGTTTCTCGCCGGACTGGTACCGATTCAGTGCGCGTACACCTTCATTCAGGCTTCATTCAGAACCTCGAAATCAGTGGAATAAATTAGTAGTTTCAATTAGCCGTAGAAGTGTGTTCACTTAATTTTAATGTAAGCATTCAGAACATCATAATTAGTGGTAGTAATTTTCAATTAGTGGAAAAAGTTAACAAACTTTTGACTTTTCCACTAATTAATAATTATACTTCAAAATTTGCGAGAAATGTCATTTTGGCCTTTGATTATCACCCGTCAAGAAAAATTTTGGTTAGAAATCAAAAATTTATTGTTTTATAAGCTAAATAGTATGCTTTCTCTTTGGATACAACAGACTAACGCAACCTGTTGCTAGAATATTTTATTAATTTTATTTGTGTTTTTAGATACTGTGAATGATCTTAAAGTAAAAAGTATAAAGTGTAATTGAAACCACTAATTTATTCCACTAATTGGGAGGTTCTGAATGAAGCTTTAGTTTGAATAATTAATAATTGTTTAGATTAATTTTTGACATTAAAATTAAATCAATTTTGAGTCGAGAAATAAATATCAATAAATGGAAGTGTTGTTATTCACGATTCTGTCATTCTTACCTGCATTCGCCAGGTTTGCGACAATACCCTCTATCTTTATGGCAAGTCTTGGAACAAATAGCTGAAAAGAAATAATGTCGGTCTGTTTAACTTAATTTATCGAATAAACAATTAGGTTTTATTAGAAATTGTTATAATAAACTCTTCAGTTAGTGGATTGACGACCACGGCAGGGACGCGCCGTCCATATGGGCATGGTCGTGCGGCGCACGACGGCGCCAAAGCCCTAAAGGCGCCTGCGGTCCTTAATATATAATTAATAATAAAACCATTTTTTGGAACTTATCAACAAATTAACATAAAATTTAAGTAATACTTTTATCTATGAACGCCAGTCGTGAAAATATATTATCCACCAATGTCGAGCGCCGCGCCGCTGGTCATTGGTAATATTGGCTCAATATTATAATATTGGAGAAAGGCGCCTACCCTTATTTCGCACGACGACGCCGGCGCCGAAAATACTTGACGCGTCCCTGGACCACGGCCTAATTCGTCAACCGGGACTTTTCAGGCGGATTGTGGACCTTTTGGGGAGTAGTTTTAGGGGGAAAATTGTAACACCGTGCTCAGCTAGCTTTGCCCGAAACAATGGTCTCAAACGACCCAAAAATCAGTTTTTCACAAATATCTGCCAAATATTTGCAATTTGCAGCATTTTTCTTGGAATAAAATGAAGCTTAGGTTAGATAAGGTTAATAGTTAATAGTTAGGTTAACAGTTAAAATAAATATATAATAAAATATTTAAAAGGTAGAGTCAATAGCCATCACATTTTGGAACTTGTTTGAATTTTGTCATATTTTATGATAATAAAAAGACCGGGCCAACATTTCTTAACCCAAACATTTTCAGATTTTTACAAACTTATAACATATTTTCACTAATAATAGCTCTTAAGTCAAGATATTTTTTGCGGGTGCCAGATATTACAAGCATTGTCATATACACAATTTTATAAGTCATGATCTACAGCCGCCGGGCCATCAAAAGGCGTAGGAGATCCCTTGGATGCTGATATTTCGGACGATATGGTGAAGGTAGTCAATTATATCTGGGAAAATGGACAAGAACAATATTATGCTCTGAGCTCTGAAGAGTTGCAAGATATTGCAGGTAATTTTGAACTTTTGTCATTGATTTACAATTCTTCATTGATGTTTGTTACTTATAAAGTTATTATGCAATTTTCTTTGGTTTACGATACTTTCCGGAAGTCCCCAAAAAGAGGAAAAAAGCACTCACCAATAGATGTTTTTTATTAAAATGTGACAACTGTTAAAAAATATTGACAAATAAGCTATTATTAGTGAAAATATGAATAAGTTTGTAAAAATTTGAAAATTTTTGGGGTAAGGAATATTTGCCCGATTTTTTTATTATAAAATATAACAAAACTCAAACAAGTTCTATAATGTGATGGCTGTTGACTCTACCTTTTAAAGAAACTTTGAACCATCAAAAAATATTAAATTTTAGTGGAGTTATTAAAGAATTTGTCCTATCAATCAAAGATACGCTTATGAAATAATATATCTTTGATACGTTAAGACTTGGAGGGAAAATTCAGGGATCTTCGAGGCGGAATATCTCGAAAACTACTAATTCTACGTAAAAAAAATTATAAGAACCATTTTTGTAGATAATTACATAAGCGTCATTTTTTATTCCAAGAAAAATTTTTTAAATTGCATATTTTGGCAGATTATTGCAAAAAACTGACTTTCGGTCATTTGGGGCCATTTTTTCTGCCAAATCTGGCCGAGCACGGTGTTAAAATTTTACCCCCTAAAACTACTCCCCAAAAGGTAGACATACTTGCTGTTGTAGCTTTCTTTCTCCCTCTTCCAGGCCGGTCTGTAACCTCGTTTGTCTCCCAGAATTTTTTTAATATTCGCGAAACATCGCTTTGGTTAACTCCTACAATTTCAGTTATTGCAACTTGCCGATAGCCCTGTTGAGACAGTGTTACTATTCTGTCTCTATTAAACTGCGAAATAATGTTTCTAGGCATTTTAAGACCAAAACAATGGTCAAATTTCTTCTGAAACCCAAGAGACCACAAATCGAAATGTGCAAGAATTTGTAATAATATTGGGTCTGAACGATAAATATTGTTTACAATATCCATTTTAACAAAAAAAAATGTATTACAGATTATCAAAGCTATGTGTAAAAAAGATTCTTTAAATTCTTTTCCGTATAACGATATATACAATAGTTTTGGCCATGTGTGTACATTACAGAATACTTACGTGTTTGGCATAGTATCCCTGTGTAGCCAGGCTGACATTTACATTCCAAAGGTTTGTCGCAATACCCATGGACGCAGCCTGGGAGGACCTGGCATTCTTTGCACGTTCTCCCAGACCATCCTAGTCTACACTTACATTCTCCAGGTCCGTCACAGTATCCTCTGGTAAGATGACAGTCTTTCCGACATATTGCTAAAATTAAAACAAAGCTGTACTATTACGCAAGACTTTTTTAATCTTAACGTGTTTTATATTCAATCTTCCGGAAATGACTACAACTTTTAATTTTTAAATTACACGTAGTACTACAATTACACAAGTACCAATACACATAACGAAACCATACAGCGGGCTTCAGAACGGATGACTCTAGTGCTTTTTCTTCAAATCTCTCCATAAAGAAAACCCACTAATATAGACCGGTACTTACACAAACTATCAAATCACCATCCAAGCCAAAAACAGGAGATTATCGGAACATTAGCAAATAGGGCAAGACGTATCTGTGCTAATGAACACATCCAAGAGGAACTAAGCCATTTAAATAAAGCCTTTCTTGCCAATGGCTATAATGACAAAGATATAAAGGCGGCGCTGGCACCTAGGCAGATGAGACCTGACGTCAATGAACAGGAAAACATCATTAATAGAGCCTTCCTTCCATATGTTTCCCAGGTCACCGATAGGATTGGTAAAGTTCTCAAGAAGCATAACATCAAAACCATATAAAAACCTACCCGGAAAATAAGGGACTGTTAAGACCAGCCAAAGACAAAAGAGAACCATTATCCTCTGCAGGGATCTACCGTATACCTTGTTCCTGCGGTAGCGTATGTATTGGAACTACCAAACGCTTAGTAGGAACGAGACTTACGGAACACAAGAGAAACTGCAGATTAGGGTAAACAGAGAAGTCAGCCGTAGCAGAACATGCTCTAAGAGATGGTAACCACAAAATCCAAATCGAAGACACCCAAGTCATTGCCACAACATCTGGATATCATCCTCGTCTGGTCAGGGAAGCTGTTGAAATTCACAAACAACCAAATAATTTCAACAGGAAGGAAGAAACTTTCTACCTTAACAGAATTTGGCATCCAGCTATATCTAGGACCAAAGTAGCAGCACAGAGAAGTAGACCAGTTCCAGAAGAACTACCACCCGAACAAGCCACGCCCCCTTCGCCGACGCATAAATACGCGCTACGTCCAGGGGCGTAGATAGGTGTATGCTATGGGGGTGGTACTATGATTAAGTCGCAAAAAAAATCGCCGTCGGAATTTTTTTGTCGAATTAAAACGACGGCGATTTTTTTGTCTTCAAAAAGATATAAAAACATAACACAAAAATTACAATATAGATTTGTAAATAACATAAACAAAAATAAAACAACGACGTTTATTAGTTAATTTTCTATAAACTATAAAAAAAACTCTAAACTATCAAAAAAAACTATAAAAACTATAAACTATAAATAAAACTACAAAACAAAATCAAGTTTTCTAGTACGCTGTTTGGAAAACCTATCAATAACAGCATCAACATTTATTTCAATATCTTTATGGATGATTAGAGTTAACCACTAATCTGTCTGGCCAATAAGAACACTTTGTGTGCTTTTTAATTAGATCGAACATATTATAAACATAAATCAACATAATTAAAAAGCACAAAGTGTTCTTATATGTCGGATTTTAATTAAAAAAAATCCTTTCATAGTCAATGACTATTTCAATTCTCGTATCTCGTCAACCGTCAGGGGGGGGTACTGTCCCCCAGTACCCCCCCCCCCTTATCTACGCCCTTGGCTACGCCGACGCGGATCGAATAAAGTAAAAAACTACCGAAGGTGTCATTTAAAAATCAAAACTTGTCATTTTCGGTGAAACAGGAAGTGGCGGAAGACAATTATTGAATCCTTCAATCCTAAGTTCTAATACATATATCTACTAACATACCAAATGTCATTTTTTTTATCTGAAGGAATAAAATATAATTGTAGGGGTGAGAGCTTTTGAGGAATATCCGGTATTCCTACCTATTATTTTTGACAAAAATAAATTATGACTAATTTATTATTATATTGCCAGAGTGAGGCTGGCCCTCACGGCGCGGGGCGTGCCTCTGGACCCAATTAAGGAATAATAGAAAAACTTTCAATTAATTTAAATTTAAATTTGCATCTAGAGTAAACTAGAGTAGTGTTCTAGAGAAATAAATTGTTTTATCTAAAAAAGAACTTGCAGAAAAAGTCAGTGGCGCACCTTTTACACAATTATTTTCCATAAATTGTCCTCTGAGACGCCATTAATAATTTTAATTTAATTATGCCTAATTTTAGACTCTGATTGCTAACGATAAAACTGACAAATTTCGAAAGGCGACTACAGCATGTTTAAAACAAATCCAAAACAATTTTATTTTTGTTTCACATCCTGTACCTTTAAACAATACATTATCGGACTCATGTTAATAAGAACTTTTTTCATATTTTTTAATGATTTCCATTTGAAATTGCGTGCATTGCGTGCAACACCTAGAAAAATGTGCAAAAATGTTGAATATACCGATTTGGTCTTTTTACAAGTGTATTCTGGATTTTATAATGTAAGACAGTGATGTAGGCAGCTTAATGGAAAATCAAGTGTATTAAAAAGAGATAAAAGTTGGGTTGGTACATTTCTTCTATACCGTATTGTCGGATTTTGCATCAAAAGTTCAAACCGCGCACAAGAAGTCGTTTACAAAAAATGTTACATCTAGGATTGGAATCTTATTTTTCACAATTAGTTACTCATTTTACTACAGATGCAATAGATTATATTTAGCTTAGATATATTTTCTTCATTTCAGTTGTATACATGAAAGTTTTCAAAAGAGTTTTTTTTTGTAAATCTTCCTTCAAACGTAAAAACCGGCAACACTGTATGCCGCTTTTGATTTTGTCTCTCTGTCTGTCAACCGGTCATTTATATTATTCTCTGTCTTACACGTTAAATCCAGAACACGCTTTTAAAATGACCAAATCGGTATACTGTAAATAATGGTATTCTTACGTTCCGAACAGAATAGCCCATCCCATCCTTTGTGGCAAATGCACTCGAAACTAGTGTTGCAATAGCCGTGTTGGCAGCCGGGCAACGGTATGCACTTGTTGCATTTTTCCCCGTAGAATCCAAGTTTACACAGACATTCTCCGGGTCGATTGCAGTAACTGTAAGAAGACATTCATGTTTATGCAGATGCATTACTTTGTATTATGCTAGGTACGCTTCAACTAGAATTCCGTAACGTTGTGTATTAAACATCAAAACAACATGGAATGAAATTTTAGCATATAAATGTTAGTTTTTATCTATCTGTTACGGACAATGATGTATACGGGGCCTTTATGATTATACTGTGTACTTGACTTGGCTAATAACCTATTGGCGTTGATTGTACAAGGTGGGTCAAATTCGACGCTTTTAAATGGAAACACAGAGGGAGACACCCTTTTCTATAGGAGATAGACAAAAACTAATATCGGTGTCTGGAGTGTCTGGATTTTTGTCAAAAACGTGATGGTGAAAACCGCATATCGATATCTGTTATCGTTTCGGAGTTACGGGGTGTTTAATACAAAATATGCATTTTAACAAATCGCTGTAACTTTTTTGCTATGGAAAATTTTGTATTTTTATGAAAACATTTCCAAAGCACCTTTTTACGTAAAATTTAATGGTTTAAGTATATTTTTTTTAAATTAATAATTTAAGAATTATCAACAGAAAATTTGATTTTTTATATGGGACACCCTGTCTACTTTTAATTTATTGAAAAGAATTTAAAATTACCTTTCCAAAAATATAACGCACTTGATATTTTGCTCAATTCCTCTTCGAGATATAGAGTATATAAAAATTCGCCCGCTTTAAATAAGTAGGCTTTGAACGGCACCGGCTGTAATGCACAAAAATTCTAGCTGTGAGTATCAATTAAAACGAAAATAATATTTGCTATGAGAGATGCAGAATTTTATAACAATTTAAAATATATTTAACCAACATCAACACCCATTTAAATTATATCTAATAACAATAAAAATAAATAGCAAACCAAGACATGATACTTTGCTACAGGTGTTCGACATATCGGCCGTCTTCTGTTATGGACAGACGGGGCAGTTTTTGAACATTTCTCGCGGAATTCATTAACTCCAAGTGCCAGTGGGGGTGAAAGATACCCTCTCATAACTGCTAAGTTTTTCTAATTCTTGTCTAGATTATATGGAAGAAAGTAACCTTTATTCTTCCGCAAATATATCGATAGGATTAGATCCATGGGCACTAAATCAGTCGGCCTCGACGGTCAACGGCTGTGGTCTTGGTTAGCTATTCAATTAATTTTGAAATTGGCTTCAGCGTTCAGAGGCGGTGCGTCGTCTTGCTGGAAAAATATGTTTTCGAGTTCCATTAAGGGCATATCATCAATAAGGGGTCCAAAGCCTACTAGTTAAAACTGGCGAACTTTTAAAAATTCTCTATTTCGAAGGGGATTATAACAAAATATCAAGTATGCTATATTTTTGGAAAGGTAATTTTAAATTCTTTTTAGTTAATTTTGGGTGTCCCAAATAAAAAATCAATTTGTCTGTTGATAACTCTTAAATTATTAATTTAAAAAAAAATATACTTAAACCATTAAATTCTACGTAAAAAGGTGCTTTGGAAATGTTTTCATAGAAATACAAAATTTTCCATAGCAAAAAAGTTAGAGCGATTTGTTAGAAATGCACATTTTTGAAAAACGCCCCGTAACTCCGAAACGGTAACAGATATTGATGTGCGGTTTTCACCATCATGTTTTTGATGAAAATTGAGCTCCAGACGCCGATGTAAAGGGTGTTTCCATTTAAAAGCGTCGAATTTGACCCACCCTGTACAACCTAACCTAACCAATTCTTTCAATCAACGCTATTAGTGCCTTATATTACATGTATAGGAAATTGCCATCTTATCCGATAATCAAGCAGCACAAAAAGCGATCAACTCAGTAACCATCAATTCGAAGTTGGTCAAAGATGCCTAGAGAAGATGAACAAATTAGGCAAGTCCTCCTACTCAAAAAATAAAAAAGAAAACAATCTAGCTAGAAAAATAGCTACACTCCACTAACTGGACCAGAACCGTTCTGCTTTACAAGTGGAAACCAACTTGAACAAGTGGAACTCAAACCTGGAAGACTCCATCCGTAACTTGGAATGGTAATCCTTCAACGGTCTAAGACAGTCAAAGAAATTTCTGAGAACTTTTTTAAGACGGGAAAAGTCAAAGATTTTCCATTATTTAAGTAAAAACATCCTTTGGATTATCCATAGGGTTTTTAACAGGACACAGTGTCCTCAACTAACACGTCAGTAGATTGAAGTTAAGAAACAACGGCGAAGGCACATTCTGTGGGAAAAATGGAGAAACACCAGAATACCTTGTTAAAGTTATTTAGTTTGTTAATATTGTTATAGTAAAATAATAAGCAAATAAATAATATATTCTTGCCTTTAGCTGTGTATTTTTTCTAATTTCGAAAAATCGAAAGTAGAAAAAAAATTAAAAGTAAAAAGAAAACTGTTTTACTTGTCGTAAAAGGGGGAACCATGCTCCACTCCCACAACCGGTTTCTGGGCCTACCGTTCATCAGGTGGGCTGTCCAGGGGCTGGTTCTCACCGATACGGCAAGCAAAACATTTTCTATACAACAGACGATGTAGTAAAATCTAGCCCACCTGATGAAGGGTAGGCCCAGAAACCGGTTATGGGAGTGGAGCTTGGTACCCCCTTTACGACAAGCAAAACAATTTTATTTTTACTTTTAATTTTTTTTCTACATTCGATTTTTCGAAATTAGAAAAATTACACAGCTAAAGGCAAAAAAATATTATTTATTAATATACACTAGAGCTGTAAGAATTTTGTTCATTTCATATATATTTGAGCGGGCCGAAAAACGCTCTTTGCCCCATTTTTTGACGGGAGATGCACTAATATCTCACCGACACTTTACTACATCGTCTGTTGATATAGAAAATGTTTTGCTTGCCATATCGGTGAGAACCAGCCCCTGGACAGCCCACCTGATGAAGGGTAGGCCCAGAAACCGGTTGTGGGAGTGGAGTTTGGTTCCCCCCTTTACGACAAGCAAAACAATTTTCTTTTTACTTTTAATTTCTTTTCTACTTTCAATTTTTCGAAATTAGAAAAAATACACACCTAAAGGCAAGAAAATATTATTTATTAATATACACTAAAGCTGTAAGAACTTTGTTCATTTCATAATAAGCAAATAGGTATATAGAATAGCCCATGGCCATGGTACAAAGAATACAAGGTATGATATTGCGCAGGTTGGTCATTACGTCACAGGTGATAAACGGCACCATTGGTCGGCAAGCTCTGCGCGCCAATTTCAAATTGTCAAACAGATTGTGTCATCTGTGAAATTTGATTGTGTCAAAATGTGAAAATAATTTTTCAAATGTCAAGCTCGATGTCAAAACATAACTTTTGGGGTTATGTCCTAATTCTTCCCTATTTTAGGTCTTTTTTTATTGGTGGCAATTGGACAATATGGATATTTTTTTGTATGGCGTATGACGTCACAGGTGGTATGCGCAAACTTAACGAAATTGGAGCCGCTATCGATTATACCTTGTTTTCTTTGTACCATGGCCCATGGCTAACATTGTCAAAAATACCAATAACTGGTAGGTAGTGCTGCATTTTTTAACACCGGTTGTTAAAATATCGAATTTCAAAATATTTGAAATTTTCTTAAATCAATCATTTTAATTTTATTTAGGTGTTTGTATAGGGTAGTGGATAGTCCAGTATCCATACTCACCCTTGCATTGGGTCACATCCAGGTCTACATTTGGGCACGTCACATAGATCACCTGTCCATCCTGGAAGGCATTTTACTTCCCCATCGTCAGAACATACGTAGTGAGAGTGTTCATTTTGATAGGCTGGTATTTCACATGCCTAAAACAGGTATTTTATTTTTGTATGCATCTTTTTTAAGCCAAACTATTTAATTAAAATAAAATAGGGTAACATTGTTTTTTTCAGTTTTTCCATTTACTATAATTATTATATATAGGCTATAAAACAAGCTTGCATAGTTTGAACGTTTAGTCTGTGGTTTAGTTTTATAATTTTCTGTACAAAATGGTGAATGTGAAGTTTTTTAACGTAATATTGCCACTCAAAATTTCAATAATAAAACTAATAAATAAATCATAAATCTAGTTATTTCTATTGAAGCTTTTGCATTAGAAAAAAATGTGACTTGTGAAATAACAATTAATTAGTTTTTATTTATATTAAAAAATCAGTAAAATAATTGATAATGCAAAATAAAATGTTTAAAATTAGTATTTTGAGAACAAGTTGCAAAACCAGTCTTATCCCACAAACATTGTTTCGAGATAATAAGCAAAAACTGTTTTAGCAAATGTTTAAAGCGTTAATTTACAAAAAACGTGGAATCATTGTTTTGTATCTCGTTTTTCTAGAAATAAAAATTAGTATTTAATTTTTAAACAAAAAAAAACACAAAAATAATTCGGATAAGGCAGGTTTTGTTCCAGTGTGATGTATATTGGCTATGAAATGAAGAACGCTGTCATTTTATATGTATATTTTTAAGGGAAATGTCAGCGATCGTCATTTCCTAGCTTACTGAACACCTTTTTTTAGATCATACGGTATTTGCACCCTAACTTGATTTATTAAATATACTATTTTATTAAAATTAAGTAAGGATTTGAAAAGACGTCAGTATTAATATTATACTGTTGTAAAAATCTGATGAAAAAATGCGGGATTTGTATATAAAAATAATGACAATAAAAAGCAAATATAAGTGGATAATACGGATTTTGCTGCAGTAACGTAATTTGTAGTAAATTTTATATAAGAATATGCGATAATAATGTTTAGGCCATTAGGCCATTTTTTTTAAATGGATAAGGCAGGTTTTGCAACTTGACGCCTCAATTTTAAAAGGCTTTGTATTGGCTAGCCTAAATATAATTTCCTAAAAAATATATGTTTTGAAAAAATATCGAATAATTTTAGTTAGGTGTGAAATTTTAGATTCAAGTCTTTTAACTTTTTGTAGATATTTTTATATTATAGATATACCGTATGGATCGAAAAAAAAATGGCGTCAGCGATGGCTATGAAATGTAGATCGCTGTCATTTTATATGTAAAATCGTATTGTAAATGTCATCAATGTTCATGTCCAAGCCAGCTGGACGTCGTTTTTTTTTCAATCATACGGTGTATTAAAGAGGTTTTTAAAAAAATATAGATAATTTAATTTTTTAATAATATTTCATTCGCAATATCCACTGAAAAACAAGAATAGAATATTACCTTCTTCTCTCTTAATTTTATTTAATTTTTTGTGAGTAACGCTTACAATTAGAGAGATAAACTTAAAATTAAATAATTACTTATATTATTAATTAAATATTTATTAAATAATAATTAAAGCAAATAAAATTATCCCAAATGCATACCTGTTTTTTCCACTTTGGCACAAATTTTCCACACAATACACCAGAAATAACGGCAAAAATTATCACCACACTAGTGTTAACACTCATATTTGCCTTTAAAAATATAATTACAACACTATTATTTTTAATATCATACTTTTAGAAACGTATTAAACCTCTTTGAATAGTTTCTTTTTCTATAAGTAGTACTACCTTACCATGAACTTGACTCTGATGACGATACTGAAGAACATACACAATCGTTGACCTTATTTCCTCTTCAGTGTGATTATACCGGGGTACGTTAAAAAATAACTTGATTTTGAGAAAACTTGAATTGCAATAACCGCGCTAAAAGTCAAGAGAAGAAATATTGATGCACTAGTTTTTCATGAATTTGGAAGTCAGTTCATCATCAAGTTAGAATAATTGTAAAATGTAGAATGTTTAGGAGGGGAGTTAATCACCGCGACCTTATAGATCTATTGTGTGTCCTCCTTTCCTGATCATACAGTCTCAGGGCTTTAACAAAAGCCAGTATCTGAGACGGCTCCACAGAGGCTAGCTCTCCATCCTCGACATCAGCCTTACCAAAGTTCGTGGCATGAATGGTCGTCGTCTCGGCGCACTCAGTGATAAGGTGTTCTGGTGTTTTCTGGTGTTTCCTCATTTTCCCCACAGAGTTTGCATTCGCCGTTGTTTCTCAGCTTCAGCCTACTGAGGTGTTCGTTGAGTGAGTGTTCGCTGAAGAGAGTGTCCTGTTAGAAATCCCGTGACAATCCGAAGATTGTTTTTACTTAAATCAAGAAAAACCTTTGATTTTTCTCGGTCGTAAGTTCTGAGGAACTTTTTCGAGTGTCTTAGACCGTTGGAGGACACCCCTTCCAAGTTACGGATGGAGTCTTCCAGATTCTCCACTTCAGTTCCGCTTTCAGTCAATTCCCGTTTGGAAAACAGAACGGTTCTGTTCCTAGCTAGATCATTTGCTTTTTCATTGCCTTCCATCCCTTGCTGAGCAGGCACCCAGAGTAGGAGGACTTTATTTTCTTTGCCTAATTTGTAGAGCTTCTCTATGCATTCTTTGACCAACTTCGAATTGATGGTTACTGAGTTGATCGCGTTAAGTGCTGCTTGACTGTTAGATAGGATGGTAAGTTCCTGTTTTCGATAGTTATCTATCTAATTTTATTATTAACTATCTAAGATAAATTGTACGCATCTTTCGATAGCGTAAATTTCTGCCTGAAGAATACTGGGGTAGGTGCCCATTGGTTCGGAGTATTTAGTTTTCGACCCAAATACTCCTATCCCTATCCCTACTTTGGTTTTGGAAGCATCAGTATACCACGTCATGGTATGGTCTTTTATATGCTGAGTAAGCGTTTCTTCCTTTCAATCATTTTTATTACTCAATACTACAGTGAGGTGTTTCTCAAAGTTATAAATTCTTGGTATGTCATCCACTGGGAGTTGGAAAAGTGGAATTTTCTTTTTGAGGGTGTTCCAAGCCCCTGACCTGAAAATTCTCCCAGTACTGTTTCCGTCAATGACCATTCTAATGATTGTCGCATTGGCATAACTACCGACGACAATATGCAGTGGTGTTAGGTCTAGAATGACCTCCATTGCTGCTGTTGGACATGTTCTCATGGCACCTGTGATGCAGATACATGCCAGTCTCAATAACTAGTTACCTACCTAAAAGCTATGAAATTAAGTGAAAACTATTTAAAAGTAATCGAAATCTTTTAAATTTTAGTGGAAGAGGGAATTGAGTGTCATTAAGAAAACAAAATTGTTTAAGGAAAATATATTTTATTAAAGAATATTTTTTATTTTGTTAGTACTGTTACAAAAGTTACTTTTACAGAAGGAACCAGTATCTTATTGGCATTTTTTTGTTTATAAACTATAAAAAATTATTAAAATAATGAGTATATTGTTTTAGGAAGATCAAGTTCTACTACACTAAATAAACCTAATGATATGTCTATCTTTTTTAATTAGCTATGTTACATTAAATTTATGAAATTATTAATAATAAATATTATGTTATAATATTATTAATTTACTTTTAACTAAAATAAAAAGTAAACAATTATATAGGTATTTACATTTTGTACATTTACTCATCTCAAACTATTCATTGTAAACTAAATTATCTTTTAAATTTACTTTAACTTTAATCACAGGATGTCTAAAGACTGTTCAGTCATCGTTCAACGTTACGTCATCATTATTTGTTAAAGATTAGTTTTAGGGGGTGTCTGAGATTAGTTCATAATGTTTAAAAAAATTTAAGTACGTTCCTATATTATTGATTGAGTGAGTTCCGTTTTTTCAGCATGTATTCATTTATTCTTGAACTCTTCATCAGTTGACCAACTCGCTATATTATTTAAAAACGCTATAAATTTGTATTTCACATAGGAATATTACACTTTTGCATTGTACTTACTTCATATATGGCGTCCACGGGCAAGAGTGTTCTACCAGCATCTCTTTCTCGAGAAAAATAATTTAAAAACTTAACAATCACCCCTTGTTCATTTTAGTTAAATCTTTGAGGCATTTTTGCAATAAAAAATGAATTTTGTTTTATGGCAACAATCAAATTTTAATTTTGACATTAATCGATGTCCGTCAATAAAATTATAACCTCAAATCAAATGACAATGACAATTAGTAAACAGATATTTATGCAGTAATTTATAAAATGCCGTAAAGGCGTCATCAATCTCTTTCATCAAGTTGGCAAGTGATTAAGAAAGTTCGACACTATACAGGGTTGTTCACCACATACGACACGGAATATTGTAGCTAAACGATTAGATTTTTACAAATTGTAAATTTTGGGTTCGTTGAAGGACTATTAGAGCTACAATTTAAAAATATTTTTACAAGATACAGAGTGTCCAAATAAGTAAAAAATATTATAGTTGTGTTTTTTTTAAATGGAACACCTTGTATATTATACTATTTTTAGATTATACGATTGAAATAAAGGTAAATTTGATTAAGGTTTATCACACATAAACTTTACCGTTTTTGAAATTTTCTAAAAGTTTATTTGTTGAACAGATATTATGTTGCAATAATAAACAAAATACTATCTTATACAGAGTGTCTAAAAATTTATATTAAATAAACTAGCTTTAAACAACAATAATTTGTTTAATTTAAATAGAACGCCCTGTATATTCTACGATAATCAGATGCACAATTTAATTGTCTATCAAATTTTATTATACCATTTTTTACCTAACTCTTCAAGTTTTCGTAGAAAATGCATTTTCTTATAATTTAGACTTCATTTATCACTATACCCATGGAATAGTGATATTTTAGATTATTTTTAAAGATGTATGAATTTTGAAAGAGTACAGATACTAATATTATCGATATATTTTGCTTATTTCATTAAAAGATAAAAAAAAAATTATATAATTTTTGTTAAATAGGAATTATTAATATGATCCCATTATTCAAACTACATTAATTGACGTTGATGAGTTTACGTTGATTAATAATAATTGCTCCAAATACTAAGAAATGAATTTTGTGTGTGTATTAGACAGTGTGGTAAAAAGTAACACTTTATAAATTTTATTTAGTTTCTTGACGAATGCTTATTTATAACAACAGAGACATTCATTTTTATAACTTATTATTGTATTGATTTTGAATCAAATGTACATTTATTTATTTTATTTTATGAGTAATTATTAATTAAAACAATTAAGTATGTAAATAACTAATTTTTGGGCGGAAATAATGGTGTGTGGTATATTTGTATATTAATAATTAATAATAATTAGTATCCTCTTTTACAAAGATTTAATTAGTTTTCATTTTTTAAACAAATAGGCTTACAATATTATAATTTTTACCACCTGTACATTTTGTACATATGTTTCTTTAAAAAAATCTAATATTCCATGGTATAGATAAATGAGGTCTAAATTATAAGAAAATGCATTTTCTACGAAAACTTCAAGAGATAGGTAAAAATGGTATAATACAATTTCATAGACAATTAAATTGTGCATCTGATTCCGGTAAAATATACAGGGTATTCTATTTAAACAAGTTATTGCCGTTAGTTAAGCTAGTAATTATTTAATATAAATTTTTGGACACTCTGTATAAGGTAGTATAATTTTTATTATTGCAACACAATATTTGATCACTAATTAAACTTCAGTATTTAGTATTCAGTATTTAGTCTTCTCTGTGTTACTCTATGGATGTGAGAGCTGGACACTGGATTCACAGACCGAGAAGAGAATAGAAGCCTTCGAAATGTATATATACAGACGGATGCTGCGAATCTCATGGGTACAAAGGATCACCAACAATGAAGTACTCCAGCGCATGCAGAAACAAAAAGAGATACTGAACACCATCAAGGAAAGAAAAATGCAATACATGGGTCATGTGATGAGAGGTGGTAGATACGAAATACTGCGCCTCATAACAAAAAGAGATACTGAACACCATCAAGGAAAGAAAAATGCAATACCTGGGTCATGTGATGAGAGGTGGTAGATACGAAATACTGCGCCTCATAACAAAAAGAGATACTGAACACCATCAAGGAAAGAAAAATGCAATACCTGGGTCATGTGATGAGAGGTGGTAGATACGAAATACTGCGCCTCATAATAGAGGGCAAAGTGCAAGGGAAAAGATCAGTAGGAAGACGCCAGAACTCATGGCTAAAAGATTTGAGGAGATGGTTTGAACGCTCGTCTGCGGAAATCTTCCGGGCTGCAGTTTCCAGAGCCACAATTGCCATTTGGATCGCCAACCTTCGGCAGGAGAGGGCGTGATAAGAAGAAGAAGAATTTAGTATTAAAAGCTTCGATAACCTTGAAGAAATCAAATTTTTTACTGCAATTTCACAAAATTGAAAATATTTCAGAAACAGTAAGGTTTAAGTGTAATAAACCTGAATCAAATTTACCTTTATTTCAATCGTAGAATCTAAAAATAGAATAATATACAGGGTGTTATAGGTTCAGAAAAATATAACTATAATATTTTTTACTTATTTGGGACACTCTGTATTTTGTAAAATTATTTTTAAATTGTAGCTTTAATAGTCCTTCAACGAACCCAAAACTTACAATTTGTAAAAATCTAATCGTTTAGATACAATACTCCGTGTCGTAAGTGGTGAACAACCCTGTACATGACGTGACGTTGAACAATGCCGGAACAGTCTATACAATTTGCTACCTGTGCATTAATATAATTATTCTAATGGTAACTTTTTTAATAGTGAACAAATGTATTTATTTTAATTATAAACATCTGTTTTTAATTATTGCCTATTAATTAATTTATTATTTAGGTCTATTTTCCATAATCATCGGGTATGATTGCGTCATTGATGACACGTACTAGAGGATCGTAGACAACTTGCCTAGCATGTCTTCCCATGACGAAATCTATATGGTTGAATTCGGGTAAGTCGATTTTTCTTATACCGTGCCTGGCTTTTTCATTGAGGTTCCTGTAGAGATTTCTAGCATCCTAAATAAAAAAAAGTAATACATTTTATTTTACTTTTTGCAGAGAATAGGACTGGAAAATGTATCCTAGGGATAAGATTAAATTATCTACAGATATAAGGTACTTACAGCTTCAGGCGTAGCCCAATCCTGCGTACTGTAAACGATATAAGTAGGAACTTGGATTTTAGAAACGTCAAAAAGTGGCGCCTCTTTAGTGCCGTACTTTAGAAAATTGATATGAGGTGGGTAGTTGTATTTTCTGAAGTTTCCTAATACTAAGTCGGCTGCATGGTTCAATATCTTGATCGATGTACCACCTGGGAGCTGTCTAAAGTAAACTGGAATTATTTCCTAAAATTACAAAAAACATTCAATGACTATCGATGGTATGTCTCGTAGAATTTAGCATATAAAATGACAGCGTTAATCATTTCGAAGCCATCTTTGACCCATTTTTCGATCGTATGAGGGGTATATTAAGTTATACAGGGTTGTTCACCACATACGACACGGAATATTGTAGCTAAACGATTAGATTTTTACAAATTGTACGATTTGGGCTCGTTGAAGGACTATTAGAGCTACAATTTAAAAATATTTTTACAAGATACAGAGTGTCCCAAATAAGTAAAAAATATTATAGTTATATTTTTTTTAAATAGAACACCCTGTATATTATTCTATTTTTGGATTCTACGATTGAAATAACGGTAAATTTAAGTAAGGTTTATCACATTTAAACCTTACCGTTTTTGAAATATTTTCAATTTTATGAAATTGCAGTAAAGAATTTAAGGCTTTATTTCTCCAAGGGTATTAAAGTTTTCAATACTACAATAATATTTGCTGAAGATTATTTATTGATCAGATATTGTGTTGCAATAATGAACATTTTACTGCCTTATACAGAGTGTCCAAAAATTTATATTAAATAATTTCTAGCTTTAAACGGCAATAACTTCTTTAATTTAAATGGAACACTCTATATATTTTACGTGAATCAGATGCACAATGTAATTGTCTATCAAATTGTATTCTTTCATTTTTTACCCATCTCTTCAAGTTTTCATAGAAAATGCATTTTCTTATAATTTAGACCTCATTTATCACTATACCCATGGAATATTGACATTTTAGCTTATTTTTAAAGTTGTAACAAATTTTCAAAGGGTACAGGTACTAATATTGTTGATATAGTTCGCTTATTTAATTCAAAATATTAAAAAAACCTGTTTAAACAATATTCAAACTACATTAATTGACTACATGACTGACAATTACTAAAAAACTGAATTTTGTGTTTGTCTTAGACAGTGTGGTAAAAAGTAACACCTTATAAATTTTATTTCATTTATTGACGAATACTTATTTATAGAAACAGAGACATTCATTTTCATAACTTATTATTATATTGATTTCTGAGCCAAATCCACATTTATTTAGAATAATTTATTAATTAAAACAATTTAAAAGTATATAATTAATTTTTTAAATTAAATTTAATAATTTAGTAAGGTAGGTAATAAAGGTTGTATTTATTTGATATACTCTTTTATAAAGATTTAAATAGTTTTTATGTATGCCAATGGGCTTGCAATATTTACCACCTGTACATTTTGTACATATTATGGTGCTATAAAAAAAATCTGAAATGTCAATATTCCATGGGTATAGTGATAAATGAGGTCTAAATTATAAAAAAATGCATTTTCTACGAAAACTTGAAGAAATGGGTAAAAAATGGTATAATACAATTTGATAGACAATTATATTGTGCATCTGATTCACCTAAAATATATAGGGTGTTACACTTAAATTAAACAAGTTATTGCCGTTTAAAGCTAGCAATTATTTAATATAAATTTTTGGACACTCTGTATAAGGTAGTAACATTTTTATTGTTGCAACACAATATCTGATCAATAAGTAATCTTCAGTAAATATTTAGTATTAAAAACTTTGATACCCTGGGAGAAATAAAGCCTTAAAATTTTTACAGCAATTTCATAAAATTGAAAATATTTCAAAAACGGTAAGGTTTAAGTGTGATAAACCTTAATCAAATTTACCTTTATTTCAATCGTAGAATCCAAAAATAGAATAATATACAGGGTGTTCCATTTAAAAAACTACAACTATAATATTTTTTATTTATTTGGGACACTCTGTATCTTGCAAAAATATTTTTAAATTGTGGCTCTAATAGACCTTCAACGAACCCAAAACTTACAATTTGTAAAAATCTAATCGTTGAGCTGCAATACTCTGTGTCGTATGTGGTGAACAACCCTGTAGAATTTAAAAAACCGAGAAATATTGTCAACCACAAAATTAACTTAAGTATTTCACACACAGGGTAGCGCTTCTCATGCGACGCGGACATTCCAAAGAGAATGGTTGTTTATATCAAAATGAAATTTCGGGAGCATAATATGTTTGTCTAGAAAGTACCCGGAAAAAAGAATGCAAAATTACAATTATCGATATATTTTAGGACTTGAGTTAAAAATATTATAACAAATTATTATATTATATTATATATTATAATAAGAACACCATAATAATAATATTATTATAATAATTTGTTATAATATTTTTAACTCAGCCTCCATTTAACTCCAAACACTTAACTAAACGTCCAGGTCCACACCATATTGTTCAGTGGCGGTAGTCCAGGCCTGTAAAATTGAGCAAATCAAATCTTGTTTATTTCGTGGAGATGCTCGTTCCACTTCAATCTTCATTAGTCCCCATATGTTTTCAATGGGACTAAGGTCTGGTGAAGCTGCTGGCTATGGAATTGTTGCCAAATGGTGTTCTTGCATCCAAGCTTGAGTATAGGCAGACGTATGGCATCTTGCATTATCCTGCTGAAAACGCCACACCTCTGGATATAAAACGTGAGCCGTTTCAAGAAGAAAACCATTTAAAATATCACAATATTTTGCACTATTATCAGTTCCATCAACTATACACAGAGGTGTAGCACCACGCTGAGATATTGCTCCCCAAACCATTATTTTAGTGAGAAATTTTGAAACTTGAACGGTAACATTTTCTTTTAATAGGATTTTTACGTGGTTTTCACCAAGCTGGAAACAACTTTCGTCAGTAATAAAAACATTATTAAAATTATCTTCTTGAAAACGTTGACAAAAATCCATTCTTCGCTGCCTTTGTAGAGGTGTTATTGCAGGGATTTTTTTTGGCTTCCTTGATATGTAGCCTTGTCTTTTCAGTGACATGCGGACGGTTTCTGGACACACTTTTAATTTTCGCTGACTTCCAAATCTGTTAGCCAATTTGCGAAACCCTAGGCGCGGATTCTGTTGGAAACTAAAGCGTTTAAATTGTTTTCGCGAATCTTACGCGGTCTTCCTGAAACTGGTCCATGCTTTATATCTGTGCCATTTTTGATCCTCTTTATTGTCTCATATACTGAACTTTTTCCAAGTTCAGTCAATTGCACTAATCTTTTAATGTTTCGAACACCTTTTCTATACAAATATTCCACCATCTCTTTTTTTATACATGCGACAGTATATTGCCATGCGATTTTGTTCATAGCCTACTATCGGCACAATCTACGTGATGGATTACTGTTGTCTTAGAGTGTTACAGAAAAAAAATACATTAAAATTAGGAAAAATATAAAATTCCGGATACTTTCTAGACGGACTATATAATATGGCATTTTATAAAAAATATGCTATTTTGCAAAATTCAAAAGAAACATCTTATATATTAATCGATTTTCGGATTCTAGGAAAAAAATAAGGGTGAGTTGTATTAAAGAAAAATACCCTAAAATTTAACGTTTTTGTTTTTGATATATTTAAAATTTTGTGAAAATGAAGAATAAACTTTAAATTTCACTAATAAACACCTAAATTGTAATTTACCCTGTATAACCTGATATTTAGTTAAATTACCATTGTATGTTAAACCAAATTAAAATTTGACCGGAAAAGTTATAATGGGTGAGACAAATTTAATATTGAATATCGGTCACCTTTAAAAATCGGTCACCTATAATTTTTTATTACGTTCTAATGCAGCTGATCTAATTTCATACATTTTTCCTGAGTTGTGAAATAACCCCAGACCTAAGAAAAAATAATTAGTAAATGGTAAAGTATTGTAGAGGAGAAAAGACGTTTTGCCTTGAATTTAAAACTAACGATATCTCTAGGATAAAAATTCTGAACCACTGTGCTACATAGAATAGCGTATCAAATTTAACACATTCTAAAATGAAGGGCCCTAAAATGAAGTTTTATGTTTCCTGTCAGATAAAATAATACGATTTAGAAAAGAATTGTTATAGTGGATTTTATATACAGTGTGATGATAAACATAGAAGAAAACATTCGACCAATGTGTATTACCAGTCATGACCTATGCATTCGAAACCTAGACATTTAAAGGTTGATTTTTACTAAATCTTCCCTTTCTATTCCATATCCATTTCGTATTTTTTATTGTATTGACGTTATACGTATGTAAGCTTCCGTTCCGTATCAGTTACATACTTTTTATTGTACAATGTATATCATTACGAAAGTTTTATTTTAAAAATTTGTATCTTTTGAAAAAAGTAATAGATTTAATTAAGTGGTGAAAGAATAAATAAATATTAGCGAGATGTTAACAGAGCCGATACAAATGTAAGAACTTGACAACACTGTTTTCGATACGTTTCAGTCCATCCGCCAAAAAAATGTATGGAATGAAAGAATACGGAACGGAAGGGAAACGGAACGGATAGTTTGCATTGTCCTATTCATTTATATGATAAAATATTTTATGTAAACGGAAGGGAAACGGAAGGGAGCTGATATGGAAGGTATATGAGAATCAACCTTAAAACGGACATTACGTCGGCTTTATGACAAAAAGGCGTATCTCGATTTTTGGCGATTTTGAGATATCAACAATGCCCTATCGACATGCCCAATGGGTCATATTTTAACATATCGAATTTGCGCATCTCAATATTGTACCTTTTTCATTTTATATTCGTTAAAAAATTTGCCCCATCTCAAATACTACAATTCTTCGTTATGACGAAAGGATGTATGTTGAGATAGGGCACTTTGTTATATCAATTGTTATACCAATTGTTATACTACAAGAAAGATGGAATTTGAGATAGGTCCTTTTGTTTTAAGTTATGAAAATGCTACCTAATTATTTTCTGATGGTTGCTTGGGACAAAATAAAACTTCTATCATGGCAGCAGCTCTCTTTTACAGTGTGACTTTGAGTCTGTTTTTTTGCCAAAAACCATTGTGAGAATGAGCTAGAGAATAAATGGTCGAAGAAAAATTGATCGAAAGCAAAACAACGAAACGAAAATTGCCCTAATGGGAAAAAAAATCCCGAAATTATAATTTCCCTAAGAACATTTTAGCGGACCAAAAACTTGCCCGAAAAATACAATAATTTTTATCTCATTATCATTGTCAGGCCATTGGCATTTGGTCCCTGTCAATTTTTGGAAAATTTTATTTATTGTGCCTATCATCATCCTGCATAAACACGTAGAATGGAAGTCGAATTTGTTATCATTGAACAGGGAAAACAGAAACTATTAGTCCACAGTTATTTGTATCAAAAAGGCACGAATGAAGAAACATGTTTTGTTTTTGTTTAGTTTGGTTTTTATTAAATGGATCGTGAGTTTAAATGCCTTGTATTAATGCCCTCAATTAACTGAATAATTACTAAAAATATATTAGTTAAAAAAAAATATTTTTGTATAAAAAACAATATTATTAAAATAAGCTTTTTAGATAAGTGTATTTTAATTGATTATTGTCTTTGCTTCTGGAATGAAAATTGTCTTTGTTTTCAGTTGATCTAATCCAACGCGAATAAAAGTATTTTAAAATATTTGTTTCTGATTTTTTGGTGATTTTCAGATTTTTTTTCTGTATGTATGTATTGTATTTTCTTGTATGTATTCCATAATGTGAATATTGTATTTTTTTTTCCTTATTAAGAACACTTTACCATCATTTTTAAATTTATTTTACATGGGCGTATGTATACTATTGGTTCGGAAATATATTTATTATTATTATAACAAAAAAGCCTATCTCTATTAAACAACTAAAAAGAAATTATTTATTAGAATTTACGCACAATTTATCTTCAGAACGTTTCCTCAATGTCTCCGTTTAAGTGTTAATACAAAAACACTATTAAAAAATTAAAGACTTTACATTTATTGGCCAAATAAAGTAAGTGATTTTCTTTAAATTGCTCTCCTGAAAAGTAGCAAAAATCGAGATACGCCTTTTCGTCATAAAGCCGACGATTATAAGGTTGGGCATACAGGTCGCACAACGCTCAATGCAACGAAATATGTTGGGAATAACTAAGAAAGACCATAAAAGAATAGAGTGGATACGACAAAAGACCCAGGTACTAGATGTCATCAGAATCAAATCCCTCAAGTGGCAATGGGCAGGACACCTGACAAGAAGGATGGACAAAAGATGACCAACAAAAATTACAGCATGGTACCCACGAGGAATTAAGAGATCTAGAAGAAGACCAAACCTGAGATGGGACCATGATATTAGGAAATTAGCAGGGATAACTTGGGCTCGCATAGCCAAGAAAAGACAACAATGGGCGGAGGTTACACTATAATTGGAAATGGTTGAATGAGCTCAGAATGATGATGATAATAATGATAAATAAAGTTTTCCAGTAGAAGTCCATCAAGTAGACACAGTAGTTGCAACAAGAACTATAAAAGTTAAAAAATAATAATTTGAGATAGCACTTTCTTATAAAAAAAGTACGGTGGTCTAAAACATGACAAAAATAAACCAAATAAATGAATAATTATAATATTAGGGAGGCAGTATATGTAATGATGATATAACGGGTGCGTCTCAAAAGTGGCTCACCCCTATAACTTTTTTTATTTTTTCAGATAAAACGAGATTTGGTATGTTAGTATATGACATACATTGGGATTGATTGACGTATTCAATTGTTTTCGGTCACTTCCGGTTTCAACGAAAGTACAACTTTTGATTTTTAAATGGCACCCTCGGTATTTTTTTACTTTATTCGATCTAAAATGACATTCTGAATCAAATGACATATCATATGTCAATTTTTGACATACTCACTCAAAAACAAATTATATTTTAAATTTCAATCTAGCATATTAGTTTTTTTAACACAGCCATGGCTGTGTTAAAAACACTAATTTTAAATCAAGGAGCCTTGGAAAAATAGAGTTGATCGTCTAATGTTTTTAGTGTCTTGTCCTGGCCGGTTAAAAGATGCCCAAATCGAGGAGTTCAACGAGGGTGGCTCATTAGCATATTTGGAAAAAGCATTTTTTACGAATAATTTGATACCACACACTTGGTATTTTGAGTCAAATTGTCGTTATGAACCGCATGTTACAATTTCAAATAAACCATGTGCCAAAATGTCAAAAGTTGACATATGATATGTCATTCGATTCAGAGTGTCATTTTCTATCGAATAAAGTAAAAAAATACCGAGGGTGCCATTTAAAAATCAAAAGTTGTAGTCATTTCCGGTGAAACCGGAAGTGACCGAAGACAATTGAATACGTCAATCAATCCCAATTTATGTCATATACTAACATACCAAATCTCGTTGTTTTATCTGAAAAAATAAAAAAGTTATAGTGGTGAGCCACTTTTAAGGCGCACCGGTATTTTGAAATTATTTTTATTATTTCTTCAAAAAAAGTCTTTGGATATTATAGAAGAAGAATAGACATTTTTAGGGTTCTGTACCTAAAGGGTAAAGACGGGAACCCTATTACTAAGACATCGCTGTCCGTCCGTCTGTCACATAGGTCTATCTTATGAACCGTTATAGCTAGACAGTTGCAATTTTTACAGATAATGTATCTATGTTGCCGCTATAAGAATAAATACTAAAAACAGAATTAAATAAATGTTTATAAATAAAAAGGTACTTTCACTAAACATTATCTTTTAAATAAGAATTTTAAATAGAATCTTTCAAGTCCTCGGTGGCGTTAGGACTTTACGCTGCTATGACGTTGGAGCCGTAGTAAGGCAGGTTCGAATTCTAGTCAAGGCGACTTTTTTTTAATTTTTACATATTTATTTTTACTTTTTACATATTTATTATTGATTAATACAATTTTTAGTAATGTGTTTCTTCATTTTTTTTAAATTACTTATACGCGCATTGAAAATTTCAGCTACTTAAATCGGAAAAAAAGTTTATAATAATATAGTGTGTAATGTTGTATAGATTATGAATGGTACGGAAACCTTCGTGCGCGAGACCGACTCGCACTTTTTTATTATACATTATTATATTAAGTCTAGTTTGTACTTACCGGTCCAAAATCAGCTTTGGCACCGTAAAATAAGTTATAAAGCTGCATGCATACTCTCATTAATGGTGGAGATTCCATACAAGGGACATTGATTAATCTACCAAGTTCTTTGGATTGTGATACGATTCGTTGTAATCTTAACTCCATTACAGTTTCCTAAAAAATAAAACAATTTAGTTCTATACAGAAAAAAATTATTTGTAACAACAAATAACAGAAATAAAAATAAACAAATACAGGGTGTCCCAATATTCCGTGGACATAGAACTACTATGCATTTTGGGAATCAAAATAAGTTCATTGGACACAATTTACCTCTATACAAAAGTGCTTGGTTTGTCCGTTAGAGGGTATCAAAGTTTAAAAAAAATACATTTTTTCAGATATTTTAAGAATCGCTATTCCGATTTGAATGAGATTTTGGGTGTATAATATGTTCTGCTAAGTGCTTTGACATTTGACGTTAACTAAAATAAAAAAAAGTACGGCTAGTTAAAAACTACCCATCGTAAAATGGTCCTTCTAGTATTTACTGCATTCTTTGTCTCTTGTAAAAAAACGCCACCGTGCATACTTTTTGAGAAAAAAAAATTCCGAAGCTGACTTCCAAAGTCTTTCCGTTTGCTTCCTTCAAGTCAGCTTCAGTTTGCCTCCATACCTTGACGTGACAAGCTATGGAGGCGCATAAGATATATTATGCTCTAATAATCTTAATTGGCGAAAATATGGAATTTTATGTTAATATCAAAAATTATAATTGACAATGAGCTTCATAAAAACTTAACAAATAATAAATTTTAAATTTATTACCGTTCAAAAATACGTAGTTGTTCTATATCCATGAAATATTGCAACTTCCTGTAGGTATATTTTTAGGTCGGCTTTGGAAACATAAATTCTCCAATTTTTTTTCTAAAAAACTATGCGATGTGGCGTTTATTTACAAGAGGAAAAAATGTAGTAAATACCAGAGGGACCATTTTGCGAAAAGAAAATATGCCGTCGCCGTCGGTGGACTTGGAAAACATTTATATGAGGTAAATTAAAATAACTTTGGTTGCACATCATAATACGACCACCAGCAAACTCCATAAAACGACGTATGGTGTCATTGATGACGTGCAACGAAAGTTGTTTTAATATCCTTAAAAAAAATCAAGGAGACAAACGAGGTTACAGACCGGCCTGGAAGATGTAGAAAGAGAGTTACTACTGCTGTGCAAGACCATCAAATGTCCCTAATTGCACGACGCAATCCCCTGCTTTCTAGTACTGCTATTAAAAATGAGCTCCTTGAAGGAGTAAATGTTTCAAGAAAGACCATAGCAAGAAGACTCCATGACAGAGGATTACATTTAAAAAGGCCTATACGTGTTCCGAAGCTTAATTTACAACACAAAATTACGCGACTACAATGGGCTCAGGAGATGAGAGCAAATGGACCTAAAATTGGAATTTCGTCGTGTTTAGTGATGAAACAGGAATAGGCCTAGTGTCAGACTCGCGACGAACTTTGGTCTGGACAGCATCTGGAAGACGAGCACGCTTGAATGCAGCTCAACCCCGTGTCCCGTTTCAAGGGGGAAGCATTATGGTATGGGCAGGTATAATGCACGGAGCTCGAACTCCTTATGTTTTTATCGATAACAAAATGACAGGTGCCTCATATCTCAGAGACGTTTTAGAACCTATTGTGCGTCCATTTCGAGGGGCAGTGGGGGACGAATTTGTTTACATGGACGATAATGCTCCCCATCGCACTTCAGCGGTTCGCGAATTTTGTGAGGAAAAGGGTATAAGAAATCTGTGGTGGCCACCGATGTCTCCAGATATGAGTGTCTAGTGGGACATACTAAAACGCCATATTGCCAAAAGGAATGATCCCCCCGTACCTGAAATGAATTGAAAATTGCTGCGCGCAAAACATGGAAAGCCATTCCTCAACATCTTCTGGACCATTTAATTGAGAGCACCACGTCGTATCACAGCTTGCATTGAGGCTCTACAGACTACAGAGGCAATACAGACTATTAGTTGCGAGAAATAATTAAAATTGTTTTCAATATTTTCTGTTTAAAATGAAATTTGTTTTTGTTGATTTTCACTCATTATGAAATAAAATTATAATAACAGCCTAGTTGCACTTAGATTTTTAATTTTATATTAGTTAGTCGTGTAGTAAGCCAGTATCTCCAAAAATATAAAAAGAATCATATTAGGTCCAAAATAAAATAAAAATATCGTTGGCCATGTGTGTATACACTCAAAATCTCATTCAAATCGGAATAACGGTTCTTAAAATATCTTAAAAAAATGTGTTTATTTTTTTAAAGTTTGAAAGCCCTCTGGCGAAAAAACGAAGCACTTAGAGATAAATTCTGTTCAATGAACTTATTCTGATTCCAAAAATACGTACTATAGTTCTATGTCTACCGAATATTGGGACACCCTGTATCATTAATAATTTACAAATGCCTTTTTTGTATTTTTATCAACTTTTTTTTAATCGATACCGTTTGTATTATTTTAAAAAATCTATTACCTAGCAAATTATACATTCAATCTAATGGTTTTAATTAAAAATTTCTACAATTATCAGCTAATGTAAATAAATTTGTAAAAGTTTATTACTAAAAAACCACATTTAAATGCAAATAAAACTTTTTATGTGTATTACATAAAACGAGACATTATTTAACTCGATAAAAAACTTGTCTCCACAAATCCACATATTTATTAAGCACACGCTGAAATTATATCGTAATATACGAATTTTTAAAACTAATCCAGTAATAACCACTTGATTGCGTTAAATAATATTTGACAGATATAGGTATACTGGAAAGGAATAGCAAAAGTGGCTTTAACTCAAGGTTAGTTATAACGGGTATAGTGGGTTATACTTAAAACTAATTGTATATTTCATTGCTATGTTATTTATTATTATTTCAAATATAGCGGTATATTGGAATAAACATTTGGTAAACCGGTACATAGGCAATTTTTTAACACGTGCTAATAGTGCTTTACATATTGAATTTTTCAACCCCTTATGTTAAGCCTTGTTTAATTGCAAATACATACTGAGTTAAACCTTGACTTAGGCTATAATGAAGGTCTAAGATTTTTGTGAATTGGTCAATTAAGCCCAAAATCTTGAATAAATAACTGAATTAAGAGCAATGTCATTGAATATTTAATAGTAAATAGTGTTACAATGTAGGTCTCAATATGAAAATGAATTTAGCAAAAACTAACGTAATGTACCTACAGGGTGATCGAAATTAGTCTGTTTTAACAGAGAAAACCTATTTCGTGACTAGATAGAGCTAAACCGACATAGATGTCATGGCTCAACTTTAAACGTTTAATTGCCTAAACAGCCTGTTGATATTTTCACTGCCAACCGAGATAAGGGGTCTTTTTTAATTTTTTACTGTTTGGAAAATTGCCCATAACTTTTGTATTTCACGGAATAATTCTGTAAAAACGGCATTTTTTAAGCACAAACCAGTGGCATCATAGTCATTTTTTTTCTATACTTGCTGTTTTCGTCAGAAACATTGAAAAATATAATTTTTTAAATGGAAATCATGAACTTAAAAAACTAAAAAAAATACTGGTGTTTAACCCTTTCCAGCGATATAAAGTTATGTGTATTTATTTTTAAGAATGAGAGAAATTTAGGGTTTTTTATCTTTATATCGAAGCGAGTCTTGAATTTGTGTTGACCTAGTTGCCTATTTATTTTTTATCACAATTTAATATTCTACATTAATATTTCTCTGCGTAATTAAAGACTTTTGAGTAGGTAAATCAACATTTTGTATTAGTATTACCATTTACAATTAAAACGCCAGTGTTATAACTGCACTATTAAATGGAGAATTTAAAGTAAAATCTTAGCCTGCTAGGTCCTGTGATTTAACTCCTTTCAATTTCCCATCACAATCCTTTTAATTTTTATTTATTGGAAATTAAAAGACCTTATATACAGGGTGTTTCAAAACAAATGCGAAAAACTTTAGGGGGTGATTCCTTGTTCAAAATAAAGGGTAGTTTGCTTCATAAACGTTGGGTCAAAAGTCAACCATTAGGGAGATATCGCTGTACAAAGATGGCAGAAAAATAATGTTTTAATTTTTTATCTTGAAAACGAAAAGAGATACACTAATGAAATTTTATGGAAGCATTACTGTTATGAAAACACACTTTCAGGTAATTTTTTTACTTTTTTAAAATGAGTGGAAGGGGTTGAAATAAACTACCCCTATCATTCTTGTTAACAAAATTTAAAGAAAAATCCTATCAAACACATGCAAATGCCTTAATTTGGATATTTTAGTTTGTTTAGAAACTTTTTTACCTCTTGTGTTTTTTTGATAAAACTCACCGATTGGAAATTAAAAAATAAAATGTAAAGCATTACATGTCAGGACAAAAAACATTTTTAGATTAAGAATCTAGTGATAATAACGATAATAATAATCATCTAGATAATAACGTATTGCAGTAGAGTAATGTCAAATAAAATAATATTAGGAACATCCTAAAAAATTACAGCAGCCCACTAGATTCTTTATCAGAAAATGTTTTTTGTCCTGACATGTAATGCTTTACATTTTATTTTTTAATTTCAAATCGGTGAGTTTTATCCAAAAAATACAAGAGATAAAAAAGTTTCTAAGTAAACTAAGCTATCCAAATTAATTTTTTTGCATGTGTTTGATAAGATTTTTCTTTAAATTTCGTTAACAAAAATGATAGGGGTAGTTTATTTCAACCCCTTCCACTCATTTTAAAAAAGTGAAAAAATTACCAGAAAGTGTGTTTTCATAACAGTAATGCTTCCATAAAATTTTATTAGTCTATCTCTATTCGTTTTCAAGATAAAAAATAAAAACATTATTTTTCCGCCATCTTTGTACTGCAATATCTCCCTAATGGTTGACTTTTGACCCAACGTTTATGAAGCAAACTACCCTTTATTTTGAACAAGGAATTACCCCCTGAAGTTTTTCGCATTTGTTTTGAAACACCCTGTATAAGGGAAGAACCATTGGGACGAGAGAAAAATTACAGAAGGCTATTAGGCTAGCTTTTGGACTTATTACACCAGTTCGCCTAATAAATCATTGTAACTCTGTGCACAATAAATGTTTATTGTATATTCAACAAGGAGGTGCCCAGTTTGAACATCTTTGATGATTTTTTTTAGAAAACTATATTCGTCACTCAAAAAATATTTAATTTTTTTTAGTTTTGTTCTTTGTTTATTGTATTTATTTCAATTTTAATTATTAATACTAATATAGAATGTTAATTTACTTTTTCAAAAGTCTTTTTTTTTTCTTTTCAAAAGTTTTTTCAAATGATGCAGATAAATAATAATATAGAATATTAAATTGTGATAAAAAATAATTAGTCAAATAGGTCAACACAAAATCAAGGCCCGCTTCGATATACAAATTAAAAAAAACTAATATTTCTCTTATTCTTAGAAATAGATACCCACAACTTTATATCGTTGGAAAGGGTTAAATGCCAGCATTTTTTTTAAGTTCATAGCCAACTATGTTTCCATTTAAAAAATTATGTTTTTCGTTATTTCTGATAAAAAGAGCAACCATAGAAAAAAGCTGACTACGCCACTGGATTGTGCTTAAAAAAGTGCCTTAAGGATGTTTTTAGAGAATTTTATTGTTCCGCGAAATGAAAAATTTATGGGCTATTTTCCAAATGGTAAAAAATTCAAAAAGACCCCGTATCTCAATTGGCAGTGTAAATATCAACAGACTGTTTACATCTACATAAATATGTCGGTTTTGCTCTATCTAGTCAGGAAATAGGTTTGCTCTATTAAAACAGACCAAATTCGACCACCCTGTACAACGAACTATAGTAGACAGAAAACACATTTTTAATAGGGTAAGTCCGGTAGAGATGCCTCACTTTTCTTTTGGGGCTAATAATACATATTGGTAGTTAATTTTAAATGAAACTAACTATGCAATCCTAAACTATCTTTAATAATAATTCATAATAGGACTAAGATAGTAACATAATAAGTAAGTATATATAATAATAAGAGAACAATAAAAAAATAGAAAATTGGCCATCTCTCTCTACGTTGCGGGAGAGATGGCCTTCCAACATGGGAGAAATGCCCCGCAATAAAATACATATACATATTGGTTAAATATCTAAGGTTATTTTTTATTTTTTTTAACTAATATCCAAAAGTTGAGGATGGCCCTATGCTTGCTTTTTCTGTGTTGTTGTTTGCCTCCCTACATCTCAAAGTCTTTGCAGGGATTCCAAAAGCATGCATTATGCTTTTATGCCCATTTGGTCGGTATTAATCGCTTGCAAAGCAGCAGCCAATGATTTTTCAAGCCACTGTGTGCTTTCAGGACATTTTATTATTATATATCTGAATATATAATAAAATGTTCTGAAAGCACTCAGTGGTTTGAAAAATCATGATTAAAAAAAGTTATGATTAAAAAAAAAGGCATGATTAAAAAAAGTTACTCTTTAGTAAATGAATTTGTATGGCATTTTTACCAGCTTTCTCTGTGGCATCTCTCCCAATACGATGGGAGAGATGCCTCACCGCAAGGTTTTAAAATGCAGCGACATATGATTAATTTTTTGAAGTTATGATACTTCACGAAGCATGTATTTTAATATAAAGTGGCATGAAATACCAAAAACTTACATAATATTACGTTATTTCCACGCGACCTCTGACAGTAAAAAAATATGTACTTATATATAAAAAGAGTTTTTTTTTGTAAAAACTAGCCTATTTTTTTATTGACATTCAAATTATGTCAGACCATAATAGCAGCAGGTAAACTACTGCCTTATCTAGCGGGAAGCAACTGATAAGTCACATGATTTGAAATTTACACGCTGTGGCCATCTCACCTGGTGGGGCATCTGTACCGGACTTACCCTAAATAACACAACACTGGCAATAGTAGAAAAATATATAACGGATGATTTCAGTTTCCTTTTGAGTATTAAAAACTATATAACTTTGTATTTGAACATCAATTATTATAAATATTATAAGCATTCAACAAACTATTAATATTATTAATTTTTTTGTAGGGTGGATTGGGTGGATTACTAAAAAAAAATACTTACCACTACCCAATCGCCATAAGGAGCGAATATCTTGTAGGGTGAGATCATATTGGTCAACGTGTACGCTGGGCAGAGCAGTACGAACATTTTGATGACATTTCTGGCTTCCTCGGGAAATTCACTGCCGTACATTAAGGCAAAAGTCGTACCAAGGGAATGACCGACGTAGATGATTTGGCTACCTTCTTCTGAATGTGACAGTATGGTATGAAATATAGCTGGTAAATCTATCAAAGCTACTTCGTCCATACTAAAAAGAAAGGTAAATTTTAATTATCTTCCTTATACATTTAAATATACAGAATGTCTCTTAAATAAGTGTCAATATTTTAACTGGTATACCGGGTGCGTCTCAAAAGTGGTTCACCCCTATAACTTTTTTATTTTTTCAGATAAAACAACGAGATTTGGTATGTTAGTATATGACATAAATTAGGATTAATTGGTATATTCAATTGTTTTTGGTCACTTCCTGTTTCACCGGAAATGACTACAACTTTTGATTTTTAAATGGCACCCTCGGTATTTTTTACTTTATTCGATAGAAAATGACATTCTGAATAGAATGACATATCATATGTAAACTTTTGACATTCTCGCTTAATAAAAAATTGTATTTTAAAATTCAATCTAGAGTGCCATGGCTATGTTAAAAACACTAATTCTTCATCAAGGAGCCTTGGAAAAATAGATTTGATCGTCTAATGTTTTTAGTGACTTGTCCAGGCCAGTTTGAAAATTCTCAAATCGTATTTTTAATCATAACTCAATTTTTTCAAATAGAACGAGGGTGGCTCAAAGCATTTTTTTAGGACTAATTTGACACCATACACTTGGTATTTCAAGTCAAATTTTTGTTACGAACCGCAAGTTACAATTTCAAATAAACCATATGCGAAAATGTCAAAAGTTGACATATGATGTGTCATTCTATTCAGAGTGACGTTTGCTATCGAATAAAGTAAACAAAATACCGGGGGTGCTATTTAAAAATCAAAAGTTGTAGTCATTTCCGGTGAAACCGGAAGTAACCGAAAACAATTGAGTACGTCAAACAATCCTAATTTATGTCATATACTAACATACCAAATCTCGTTGTTTTAACTAAAAAAATAAAAAAGTTATAGGGGTGAGCCACTTTTGAGACGCACCCGGTATTGTGTATATTTGCAAAAAAATTATTAAAAATTTTAGATTTTTCTTGATATGCAACTTAAAAAAATATTCGAAATTTATAATTAATTATGTAAAAATATAAATGAAAAGTTGAAAACAAAATTAGTAAACAATCAATTAAATCTAAAACAACTAGAACAAAATTAAAAGTTTCAGCTGTATAATCTGTATAATTGGCTTTATTAGTTTATTTAATTATTTTTAAATGAACATTTTTTGCAAAATAAAACACTATTTCATCTCAATACACCAAAATATTTTAAAATATAATGTACTTAGTATATACACAAGCATAAAAAGGTCTTAACCCCTACAAGTGCGCTAATTTCCATTAAGCACCTTACCTTTAAAATAACACTGGACGTGCGTTTCGTTAACCAGCTTAGCATCATCAGCAGATGATGAAAACTGACGGTTAGCTTTAGATTTATAATTAGCGAAACGAGCGTCCAGTGTCAAAAGCAAAGTTTTTTATTTATTGCCGTGAATTAGTGTTTTATTTAGCTGTTGTAACACCAAATGATCCACAATAACTGTAATGAATATTTTTTATTTGTTTTGTTGCTGTAATAATAAGAGCCTTGTCATTTTTATTAAAATCCAAAAATTCTTATATGCGATATATTAAAATTAAATGAGATTTGAAGTTCTAATGAGCTTATAGTTCAGTCATTGGGGATTTTTGCTTGGAAAAAAGTCCGGAAGTTTTGCAACTTTGCAGGTTTATAGGTTTTGGAGTCCCTAACTAAAATCCATAAAATGCACATTTCCAGACTTGCGGCGCCGCCATCTTGCCAAGATGGCGCCCAAAATCGGTATTTTGTGAATATCTCAAAAACTATGCGTTTTTCGCGAAAATTTCAGGAGAGCAAAATTAAAGAGAATAAAATTTCCTATAAAAAATGTTTTATGAAAATTTTCGCTGAAATCAATCGTTTAGACACAAAATCCCTGGAAATTTTACAATTTTGCGTAAAATATGATATATTATGTATAGTCGATTTTCCGAAATCAAATGTTGATTAGAGTTCACTAAAACTAGTTTTAGTTTAGTTTTTTCAATTTTGTCATAAAACAGTAGCGTATCATTAATTCGCTCATTAATTTATGAATAATTAATTTTAATTATCAAAAATGTGTACTTGTTTCCACACCACCCAAGAGGGAAAATATATGGCGCGTTTATTTTAACGTGGTCTCCCCGGAGGCCTACTACACTAGATAAATTAAAAACTTTAACTTATCTGCACAAGCCCGACGGATCTGGCTCATTGATGTCAAAGTCGATCGTGTCTGCTGTGCTGGTCTCATCAGGTTGTTCTCTCAATACGTACAACTCTTCATCTTCAGCCGCCATAGGGATATCTACAGGCAAGTCCAATTCCTCTTCATCGGATTCGTCGAGTGACATTTCAGTGACGTTGTCACAGGATTTCCCATTGCAGTATGCACAAATCATTGAACATTTTAATGCTGCCTTTCTGCATCCGCTGGCTTTACCATAGTTGTTGGTTTTGCATTTACAGGATAAAAATACCAATAGGGATTTTGGAGCGTAGTAGTAATGCCTGTTATTATTTTCTTCCAACCCCATTCTTCGGTATCTTTGGTAGAACCAGATCAATGCTGAACCTGGTGGTAAGTTCGCAATGAATGCTGTCCAGCACGACAATTAATTATTCATAAATTAATGGGCGAATTAATGATACGCCACTGTTTCGTGACAAAATTGAAGAAACTAAACTGAAACTAGTTTTAGTGAACACTAATCGACATTTAATTTCGGAAAATCGACTATATTATGTATATCATACTTTACGCAAAATTGTAAAAATTCCAGAGATTTTGTGCATAAACGGTTGACTTTAACGAAAATTTTCATATAACCTCTTTTTATAGGTAATTTTACTCTCTTCAAATTTTTGCCAAAAACGTATAGTTTTCGAGATATTTACAAAATACCGATTTTGGGCGCCATCTTGGCAAGATGGCGGCGCCGGCGGCAAGTCTGGAAATGTGAATTTTATGGATTTTAGTTAGGGACCCCAAAACTTATAAACCTGCAAAGTTTCAAAACTTCCGGACTTTTTTCCAAGCAGGCCCCTTTTTTGATCCCCAATGACTGAACTATTAACTGAACATCTATTTCTAGCGTCTATCTATTTCAACATCATACGTGAAAATGTATAAATAACAACCTTAAACAATGAAATATTATAATTTACTATAGTTTTAAAAATTATTATTCCCTTTTTGGCAAATTTCCTTTAGTCAAGTTTTTATTATCGAATATTCGTTAAAGAGAATATCAATATCTACTTCTTCTAATTCGAAAATTTCTACGATTTTAATTAATTCGTGAAAAAAAAACTGTTTTTAAATTCAATAAATTAATAAACATGTATTTTTAATAATAAATTTTAAAAATTTAATTGTTAAATGAAAACGCGGTTATTAAACAAATAAAAATCGGGACCTTAGGGCTTTGCGTGGGAACGCGGGACTTTTGAATCAAAATTGGGAATGTCCCGACAAAATCGGGACGGGTGGCAACCCTGATCTAAACTCCATTGGTATTTTAGTTTTTCTAATGTATTGAAAGATAAACACTATTCACTATCTTTTTTAGTACAATAATATATAAATATATAATTAAGTATTTATTATTTTAAGGCCAGTTCTTTATTTAATTTACTGTTATAAAACAAATTGTTCCCCAGAAAGTAAGACAGTAAAGAAAAAACCCAAACATAATTATAAACATTAATAATCCATTTTTAGCTTAATAAAAAAATAATAATGAATGTCATTACTATGTAATTTCCTTTAAATATTAATAGAAGAAAGAAATTTTCTTTCTCATTTGGTATTTTTTATGCTAAATAATTATTGTTTAATACAGGAAAAATAGATAATTAATCTTAATCATATTGGAAATTTTTATTTAAAATTTAAACGATTTTATTAGGTTTATAATTTTATTTCTTTTGTTGCAGTTAATTTTTCTTCAAGGTTTTAATTCATATTAATGTGTATTATGAAAATCATTTAAGAGCAAAAAAGTAGATAATATGAAATCTAACTCTATAAGTATAAAACATTATAATGCAATACCATTATTAATGAAAGTTTTTAATAATGTGAGAAATTGAAATATTGTCTGAGAGAAAAAAAGGCTTCCAGTTTGCTTGGAAATGAGGATCGATCTTCATTTCATAGCCATCGCCGACGCCGTTTTTTTTCTGTCATATTGCACTTTCTACAATCTACATAATATATAAAATGCTAATGTTTATCTGTGTCGTCTCTACTGAAGTAACGACTTGCTCTAGAAAGTTGCTTTTTTACTAAAATATAGCTAATTGGCTCTTCTAAAAACTGTCGTCGCCGGATTTTTTGTTTTTCATTTAATTAAAAAAAATAAAAAGTATTTTTTTCCTTATGTCGTGGCGCATGCGCCAGGCTTCAACTAGTATAAAATAAATATCCAGGGGAAAAACTTCATAAGCGCCAATTTCTTAATTTTGGGATTTTACAATATATGTATAGTTCACTCATCAGGGATCAAAAAAGGAGCCTGCTTGGAAAAAGTCCGGAAGTTTTGAAATTTTGCAGATTTATAGGTTTTGGGGTCCCTAACTTAAAATCCATAAAATGCACATCTCCAGACTTGCCGTCGGCGCTGTCATCTTGCCAAGATGGCGCCCAAAATCGGTATTTTGTAAATATCTCGAAAACTATACGTTTTTTGTAAAAACTGGAAGAGAAAAAAATTAAAGAGAATAAAATTTCCTATAAAAAAGGTTCTATGGAAATTTTCGCGAAAGTCAACCGTTTAGACACAAAATCCCTGAAAATTTTACAATTTTGCTTAAAGTATTATATATTATGTATAGTCGATTTTCCGAAATCAAATGTCGATTAGGGTTCACTAAAACTAGTTTTAGTTTAGTTTCTTCAATTTTGTCATAAAACAGTGGCATATCATTAATTCGTTTAATATAATTATAATTAATTTATGAATTATTAATTGTCGTGCTGGACAGCATTCATTGCGAACTTACCACCAGGTTCAGCATTGGTCTGGATGTACCAAAGATGTCGAAGAATGGGGTTGGAAGAAAACAAAAACAGGCATTACTCCAGTCACAAAGTTGACAAATCCAGCTCCAAAATCCCTATTGGCATTTTTATCCTGTAAATGCAAAACCAACAACTTATGAGCCCAGCACAGCAGACACAATCGACTTTACATCAAAGAGCCAGGTCCGTCGGACTTGTGCAGATAAATTAAAGTTTTTAATTTACCTAGTGGAATAGGCGTCCGGGGAGACCACGTTAAAATAAGTGCCCCATGTACTTTACCTCTTGGATGGTGTGGAAACAAGTACATATTTTCAATAATTAAGATTAATTATTCATAAATTAATGAGCGAATTAATGATACGCCACTGTTTCATGACAAAATTGAAGAAACTAAACTAAAACTAGTTTTAGTGAACCCTAATCGACATTTGATTTCGGAAAATCGACTATACATAATATATCATATTGTGTCGGTCGATCGATTCGCAAGCTTCACAGTATTCACATTATTTAACAAGTTTTAATTCAAAGTTATATTTTAACTAGTCAGGGTATTCAAATTAATATTTTTTTTAGAAAATATGCGATAATTGTTTTGAGTAGTGTATTATATCAAGATGTATATTATTATTATGATATACTCCATCTCCATAGCAATTACCAGTCTCTACTGTGACGCTATTTTTTTTCTGATCATACGGTCTCTAGTAATATGAAATGTACACGAATCACACACTTTTTAGTTGAACTGATTGAAAATTAAACTCACCTCATGTCCCAGAACTGTTGATCTCTGACTGTCAAATTGAGGTGCTCTTCTGAGTAGAATGTCCCCCTGTAGTTGCCCAACCACACATCGTATCCGGCTTCCCAAAGTACAAAAGCTGCAAGCAAAACCATATAAAATCAAAATAGAGTATATACGGGGTGTTTCAAAAAACATGTGCCATCTCTCGTGTGGAGATTCATCGGGTAAAATAAGATTTTTTTTATATGATTACTAGCGTGTACCAGCGACTTCGTTCGCGACGAATTAATCATTTGTAATGGTGATGATAAAGCAAAGCAAGAATTTCCATTAACATACAAACTGGATAAAATTTTCTCACATTTATGTCAGCTTGAGAAAAAACAATATGGCGATATTATTATATAACTTGGTAATATTTGAGGGGTAGTTTCATCTCGTTGGAATTTGACTTTCGAAAAATCCGTTTCCCAAAATTAAGCTTTTTACGGCAAGCAATTTAAGCAGAATCGAAGAAATTAAATTTAAGAAGTTGCCCAACTTTTTGGAACACCCTGTATGATTTTTTAAAAAATTTCAAAATATGTAAAAAAACCAAATAAATTATGCTTGTCCAAGCGTTTTCCCGAAAGACTAACCGTTTTCTAAATAACAAATATGGTAATATTTGAGGGGCGTTTTCACCCTCTTGGAATTTGAGATTCTAGAAACCCCTCCTTATCGAACCTCTACACCCCACAGTCAATCCGTTTACCAAAAATCAGCTTTAAACGTCAAGCAGTTTAAGCAGAATCGTGACCATTGAGTAGGTCATATTTTATGAAACACCCTGTATAAATTTATAAAAAATCTTAAAATATGTAAAACAACAAAATAAAATATACGTGTTTAAGAGTTTTTCCGAAAAACTCACCGGTTTTTAAATAAAAAATATTTTAATATTTGAAAGATAGTTTCACCACCTTAGAATTCAAGTTTCGAAAAATCCCTTCTTACCGAACCTCTATACCCTAAAGTCAATCTGTTTTCCAAAAATCAGCTTTTTACGTCAAGCGCTTTAAGCAGGATCGTGATTAATCAATGACCAGATTTTTCGAAACACCCTGTATACATTTTTAAAAAATTTTAAAATATATAAAAAAAACAAAATAAAATATACGTGTTTAAGCGTTTTTTCGGAAACTTGACCGTTTTTTAAATAAAAAATATTGTAATATCTGAGGGGTGATTTCATCCTCTTGGAACTGGAATTTCGCAAAATCCCTTCTTATCGAACCTCTACACCCTAGAATCAACCAGTATGCCAAAATTGAGCTTCTTACCTTGAGTGGTTTGAGGAGGGTCGTGATTAATCAGTATGTCAGTCACTTAAGGATTTTATATATTAGTATAGATTTCCCTCATCGTGAAATGGACCAATCAGCTAATCTAATTTTTCGAATAAATTTTGTTTAGATAAGTGATTAAAATCCCAAGACCAGTTTAACCGCGATTATTTTTTCGGCTTCCTTCTTAGATTAACAATAAACTTCCTTTTAGGTTTTCTTTTTGTCGTTTATCACTAATTCTGAGAGATTTTGGCAACAGTTCATTAAAAAACATTGATTTACAACTCATATGTATGACTTAATAACGATTTTAATCGGTGAAAACCCCTTATTCCATATTATTTTGAACAAATAAGCATAGATAAATGAAACAAGTTTAGATTGGAAAGTGCCCATAAGGACAATGTAAACACTATTTGGCGCTATTCTTGCAACGGTCGCGACCCAAAACTTTTGAAAATTTCGGAGCGGTTCGGCTTTTTCCGGAATTATATCGCCAAATATTGTTTATTTAAATTTATTATTATTTTCGTTAAATTTTATAAATAAAATACAGTGTGTTGCATACAAGAAACTTTATTTTATATAAGGACGCATGTATGAAATACCTATGAAACATTGGAAATCGATGTTATGCCACGATCCACGATGGTTTTTGCAGTTCACAGTTCACAGCACAGCTTTTTAAGTTTTTAATGCCACTTTTTCACAATTATCACCGGTTGGAGTAAATAAAACTTGAATTAAACTCACAAGATAGCAATAATTACTTTGAAAATGGACGTTATATAAACACTTTTCGGAATTTCTTTAATGAGAGCGGTTTAGATTTTGAAAGATTATTATGATTTTTGAAGATTCTGACTTTGACAAGAGATAATTATTTCTGTTTTTGTTTGCCGTTGTTCTTAGCGACCGCTATAGCAGCGCCAGATCGCGTATAACGGTCGCGACCCAAAATAATTTCGCGATCCAAAATTTTTACGGGCTTTCCAATCTAAACTTGTTGCATTTATCTATGCAAATAAGTGGAGAAAAATATATACGTCAGAATTTGATATGTTGACATGCAAAACGGTCCTCGATACATTGTTGGGATGCGTAACCAAGGTAGCAGAAGCACAAACATTACTTACGAGACGTCATTTTGAAACGTCTTTAAATTTTATTTACCGCTGCGCTGTAGTGAAAATGAATTCACGGTTTAGTACTATTTCCGCCGGAAATAGTCCGTCGGAAATTTTCCGGCGACAATATCGATTTGGCAATTCAAAAAAGTGTACCAATTAAATACTGTTACATTCTAAGTCATTCAGGAAATAATCTAGCCGTATATCACTCAACCTATAAATTTAATAATTTTTTGCATGATTTCGCTTTTTAGAAAATAGTTTGATGCACAATAATTTTAGAACATAATCCCTAGACTTCGCGGTCTCGGGTTTTTATTAAATTATTGTGCATTCAACTATTTTCCAAGCAAAATCACGTGCAAAATAGATTTGAATAGTTTAATCGATTAAATTTATATGTCTCGTGATATAATATATGAATATAGGTCCGATTCTGCTTTGTTTTTGTACTTACAGGGGGTTCAAATCTTCATTCACACTAAAAGACGTTCTAAAAAGAACAATGTTCGACTGCAGGGTCTGATAGTAAAAAATTTTAAGCTTAAAGTATCACAAAACAATTTATTTAAACCAAAAGCTCGTAATACAAAACTAAAGTATCAAAACGAATGGCAATGTCAGGAAATAAATGTGGCAACTTGACATTTTTAACAACAGAGCTACCACAGTAGCTAACGTCATATTCAAGGCCTGACTGTTTTGACAGTTCTACCGAAGTGGTCCAGAATTAGTAGTCGTAAACAAACCAATTGTTTTCATTAGTTTCGCAACAAATCTGTGTTTTTACGCGTTTCTATGCTAATAAAATTATACTAAATAATTTTGAGTGAATAGTGAACTATCTAGATCCGATTCATAACATCGTACCCGCGAAAAATACCATATTTTCGGTAAAAATTATAGTAACATCGGCGATGCCGGCTGTGTGTCTGGGCTAGGAAAAAGTTGGGGAATTTATATAAAAACATAATTAATAGCGTTAGTGTTAGTGTACAGTGTTAAACAAGTGTTAAACCAACGTAAGTGACGTGTACATTGTTCTGTGCCTGTGCCTTGTAGCAGCAATTATAATAAGTCCTCAGGATCTGTCTACATTCTCTTTCCCAACAATATTAACTGTAACTAGGTCATGTCCAAAACCTACAGAACATGCTGTGCCTACAATTTTTCCAAATCAACCCTCTTATGGACCCTCTGTGCATGTCCCCATAAAGAGAAAACGTCCCGATGAAAGAAAACAAGATTTGGAAATTCAGGATGAAATAAATATTGAAAAGTGTTATTATTATTATGAAATATATATTATTATTATGAAATGGCAATATATTTTAAAGAAATTAAATGAATTTGTACTTTATTTCAGTATTTTATATAAAAAAATGATATCTTTATCTTTTTATTTACGATTTATGGAGATGGTTACTTGATGAACATCGAACTACAAATTACTTAATGTTAATAGTTAATTCTATCTGATATCCACATTTTTTAAATATGTTAGGCAAATTTTTACAATTATTTTTAATTAAACTTTAAAATGTATTCTGCCGTTATCATATACAATACATTTTCTTAACTTGTCGATAAACGTATAGTTTTCAATTTTTTTAATATTTGGAAAAGTTGCTAAATACTCGCTAACGCAACTTTGGGACACGCTTTTTGTTATCTAGATTTTATTTTGTTCATCTTATGCTGTCTTATGCTTAGTTTATTTCATATTAATATTCGTGCTTTAGATCTAAATTTTAATGCTATTCAATTACTTTAACGCGATAAAAAGTTAATGTTATTTTTTAATACGTTTCTGCATAATATTTTTCGTATTTATATCTGGCAAAACTATCAATAAATACTATTATTTATGCAAAAACTATATGCAGTTACCATAAGGCACAATACAAAAGCCCGACTAGTGCGGTGACGTCACAAATCGATGTCTCTGGCCTCTATGTCATGTTGGTTATGCTACCACCTGAATCTCCAGCGGGATATTTAAATTGCAGTTAGTCAGCCCGGCGTCGAATATGTCCATGGTTGGCAACAATGAATTAAAAATCGCCCTCCCGGTTACGTAACTAAAAGTTTAATTGGTATGAAATATAGATAAAAGTGTTAATGTTACTGCAATATAATTTCTTATTTGAAATTAAGAAATGTATAGAGGTAACGTAATATCTCCTTTGTTTGCAAGAAAATTCAGGCAAAAAGTGGAAATTCAATAGTTTTAGATCAATTAAGTCTGGCTTTAATTAACGCGTTGTAAAAATAAACGACCTCAACAGCAATTTTAATTGTGCAAATGAATAAATATTAATAAATATTTTGCATAACGGTTTAGTAGCAGGTCGTTACTGTTTATTTACATTTATTGACAATTTTTCTAGATACGTATTACAAGGTGTTCGGGATAATAACTATATACGATTATTAAAAATGTTTTCCATAATTTATCAATTCTTTATTCCAAATACAGTGTCATTCTAAATAAAGTCACACGACATACACACATGGCCAAAATTATTGCATATATCCTTCGAAAATATACGGAAAGGAATTTAAAGAATCTTTTTTTATACATTGTTTTGATAATCTGTAAGATTATAACATAACTAAATTTTTTTTTTGTTAAAATGGATATTGTAAACAATATTTATCGTTCAGACCCAATATTATTACAAATTCTTGCACATTTCGATTTGTGGTCTCTTGGGTTTCAGAAGAAATTTGACCATTGTTTTGGCTTTAAAATGCCTAGAAACATTATTTCACAGTTTAATAGAGTCAGAATAGTAACACTGTCTCGACAGGGCTACCGGCAAGTTGCAATAGCTGAAATTGTAGGAGTTAACCAAAGCGATGTTTCGCGAATATTAAAAAAAATCATGGAGACAAACGAGGTTACAGACCGGCCTGGAAGGGGTAGAAAGAGAGTCACCACTGCTGTGCAAGACCGTCAAATATCCCTAATTCCATGACCCAATCCCCTGTTTTCTAGTGCTGCTATTAAAAATGAGTTAGCTCGCCTTGAAGGAGTAAATGTTTCAAGAAAGACCATAGCATGACAGACTCCATGACAGAGGATTACATTTAAGGAGGCCGCTACGTGTTCTGAAGCTTAATTTACAGCACAAAATTACGCGACTACAATGGGCTGAGGAGATGAGAGCAACTTTGGTCTGGAGAGCATCTGGAAGACGAGCACGCTTGAATGCAGCTCAACCCCGTGTCCCGTTTCAAGGGGGAAGCATTATGGTATGGGCAGGTATATTGCACGGAGCTCGAACTCCTTTTGGCTTTATTGATGGCACAATGACAGGTGCCTCATATCTTAGAGACGTTTTAGAGCCTATTGTGCGTCCATTTTGAGGGGCAGTTGGGGATGAATTTGTTTTCATGGACGATAATGCTCCTCCACACCGCACTTTAGCGTTTCGCGAATTTTGTGAGGAAGAGGGTATAAGAAAACTGTGGTGGCCACCGATGTCTCCATATATGAGTGTCTAATGGGACATACTAAAACGCCATATTGCCAAAAGGAATGATCCCCACGTACCTTAAATGAATTGAAAATTGCTGCGCGCGAAACATGGGAAGCCATTACTCAACATCTTCTGGACAACTTAATTGAGACTTTGATTGAGAGCATGCCACGTCGCATCATCTCACATTGCATTGCCAGCATCGTCAGCTTGCATTGAGGCTCGAGGAGGCAATACAGACTATTAGTTCTGAGAAATAATTAAAATTGTTTTCAATATTTTCTGTTTATAATGCGATTTGTTTTTGTTGATTAGGTTAGGTTAAAAAAGACAGCCTAGTTGCACTTAGATTTTTAATTTTATATTAGTTAGTCGTGTAGTAAGCCAAATATGTCCAAAAACATAAAAAATCATATTAGGTCCAAAATAAAATAAAAATATCGTTATATGCAATAATTTTGGCCATGTGTGTATATTGTCGAACTCTCAATCACTCGCCATCCAAATGAAAGAGATTGATGACATCATTACGGCATTTCGTAAATTATTGCATATTCTTTTTAGTAATTGTCATTTGATTTGGACTTATATTTAATTAACGGATGTCGATCGAAGTCAAAATTAAAATTTGATTGCTGCTATAAAACAAAATTCAATTTTTTTATTGCAAAAATGCCTCAAAGATTTAACCAAAATGAAGAGAAGAGCTCATTGCTAAGCTTGTAAATAATTTTTCTCGGGAAAAAGACGCTGGTAGAACACTCTTGCCCGTGGACGCCGTATATGAAATAAGTAAAATGTGTAATATCCTTATATGAAATACAAATTGATAGCGTTTTTAAATAATATAGCGAGTTCCTGATGCTTCAGAAATAGGAATTTCAACAGTCCAAAGGATTGGAATTAACTAAAGGATACGTAATTGATGAAGAGTTCAAGAAAAAATTAATAAATGCCGATAATAATATAGGAACGTACTTAAAAAGTCCTAAACAATATGAACTGATCTCAGACACACCCTAAAACTCATATTTGACAAATAATGATGACGTAAGGGTGAACGATTGTTGAACAGCCTTTACATAAAAAAAGCTTATTTAAAATTGTAATTAATAATAATTTAATAACTTTGTAATTTCTAAATTTCGGGAAATAGACTGTAGTCAAAATTTAGTTTTATATATATATAAACGGGATTTGGTTTAAGTATTTAATACTATAATTTCCAACTACAGCCTATTGCTGCCTTCCCGTTACCCTACGCCACACATCTCGATTTAGAGCGTCATCAGCTTCTAGGTTACGAGCTTCCATTGCTTCCGTTACCGTTCCGTTCCAGGATTTTCTAGGTCTACCTCTCTTTCTTCTGCCCTGGGGAGTCCATTGAAAAACTCTTTTTGGCCACCTGTTCTCCAGCATACGCAGAACCTGATCGTCTGCAAAGCTCAGGGTAAATAGTGTGTTGTCCCCAATGGGTATTCCCATACCTTGACATTTCGTCTTCCATTCCCTAAGGGCTACTTCGACGTAAGCATTGAAGATCAGAGGAGATAAGCAACCCTTTTGTGGTGTTAATTGGATTAGATAGCCTGTGTCCTATCTTAACGTACGATTCATTTTCTTTATATAGCTCTTTTATTATCTTAAGCAAAGGTCTATCTACTTCTAAGATATTCAAGGCTTCCCATATCTTGCTGCGGGGAATAGAGTCGTACGCTTTCTCCAAATCAATAAATGCTAGATGGACTTCTTGATCTACTGCTGTCTTTTTTTCCATCACCTGCTGCAGGACAAAAAGGTTATCTGTGCAAGATTTCCCCAGTGTGAATCCGCTTTGGTCTTCCGAGATTTTGTCACCAATACTGTCCCTGAGCCTACCCTGTAACACCTTTCCAAAAAGTCTGTTGACCGAACTGTTAATGCTTAGGCCTCTATAACAAGTGGGGTCGTTACGATTTCCCTTTTTAAAGATGGACACTATGTGAGCCACTCGCCATTCTCGGGGTAGTTTACTTTGCAGGCAGCATTGGTTAAATAGCTCTGCCAGACGCCAGCGTAGTCTTTGGGTTCCACACTTTAACAATTCGGCTACAATATTACCAGGACCTGGTGACCGTCCATTTTTCATTCTTTTGAAACTTTGATGTACTTCTCTTTTGCTTATCATTAAAGTGCCTGCAAGGTTGTTCTCATCTTCTACTGCTCGGAATTCTGGTCGGTTTTCTGTCAGTAATTCTGCATAGTAGTTGCGCCATTTTTCTATATCCATTCTATTCAAGAGCTTGTCCGTTTGATTGGTTTTCATTTGTCGGATTGTTCTCCATACCTCGTACTCCGTGCGCCCCTATTAGGCTTTCCACTTGCTGGCACCTTCTTTCCCAAATATCTGTTTTTCCTACCTTAATGGCGGCTCGTACCTCTCTATTTTTTGCTTGTAATGACTCCAGTTAGTATCTGTTCGGTCTGAGAGCCATCTTTGATAGAATTTTTGTTTGCCATTGATTAAGGCCTTTATGCTGTCAGTTATCCAAGCTGGTTCATCTTTTTTTTTCTGCATGTTCTGTTCACCTAAAACTTCGAAAGCTACTTTTTTAGTTAGGGTTTTTAGGTTGGTATACTCTAGTTCTACATCGTTACAGGCTTTCACTTCCTCTAGGGCTACATCTAATCTTCTCTGGTACAACCATTTAATACTGGCATCGTGTAGTAAATGAAGCTTGTACTTAATACGCTCAGATTCTTCAATTTCTAGTTCTTGTGATGTTGTGTATTCTATACTTTTGGCTCTGCTCTGGAAAGGTACTACTAATTCTGCAACGACCAGACGGTGTCGGATCCACAATTTTCTCCTCTCTTAACTCTGCAGTCTTTGAATTTGAGTTTCGATATTTGTCTAGCAATCATATAATCAATTATAGATTTTTGTTGCAGAGAGGGCCTTTCTCGGGTATATCGATGAATTAATTTGTGTGGGAAGAAGCCGTTAAGTATACGTAGTCCATTCAGTTCGCAAAAGTCAATTAACCTCTCTCCAGAATCATTAAGGACGTCCTCACCGTGTTTTCCAACCACTTTACTATCTTCTTTCTTACCAATTCTTGCGTTAAAAAATTAGTTTTAAATTAATTTTATCGTGTACTAACCCTATATACTGATAAAAACATTGATTAAGAATGATAGAAAAAGACAATTAAAAACCAGACATAAACATAATGAACAACGAAAATCTCTAACTTACCCAAAGAATCCTTTTGTAAGGCTAAGAAATTGTTACACGTAGCAACCAGTCCGTGTTGTAAATATACAGGATGTTTTCTTGCATGCGGATTCTTATGACCATCGTTAGGAATTCTGAAGATCGTCAGGATATATCCGTCCCTGGTAACTACTCTGTGGGTTTCAACTGGATAGCCTAGCAAATGTATTATTTCTGGCTAAAAGTTGATTAATAACATTGAATTTATGGAATAGAGAATAAACAATCAATAATTCAAAATAATTATTCAAAATAAACAACTATTATTAACGAAATATCAATACTGCTTTTTTATCCAAACACCTCGAGACATAATCTAAGGTTGTAATTTTCTACCTTGTAATAACTTCTTTAATGATTTAATAAGAACAATTATTAAGTAAAAGACTAAGGAAACCTGTAATTTGTCAGGATTAAATTATTTGCTATAATCGGGTTTGACAGTTTCTATTCTTGTTGAGGTTCTACACTCACTGGCACTAAAAACGGGTACCTTAAAATTTTGACATATTTTAAAGTTTAATATTTTTTGTCATAGGGGGCCGATTTTGATGATTTTTTAAGCAATTTGTAGCTAGATTATTAGACTTTTTAGTATCTGTTTCTAAATTAAACGTGAAAGTTCTTATCTGTCACTTATACGATGGAAAACAAAATGTTGATATTTTGATGAAAGTTTGAAACATCCTGTGAAATACACACAACCAAACTTATATGGAATAACTCTTTATTTCTGATTAAATTTCTTGCAAGGATAAAAATTGGTATACTTACAACTTTAAGATAAGGCTTTTTGTTGTAAATAACATGATAATAAAGAATAGACGACTGCCGCGATTTATTTTCTTTTGAATTTTATGTTCAGTAATAAAATCACGATTGATGCCTTCAACATCAAAACTGGACAACTGAGAATTGACAAAATATTCTTTCTTTGGACGTGACCAGAATTGGCCTAAGATCAGATAACCATCGAATTCGGGTTCTCAGAGCTCCAGGAAAACGAGCGAGACTTCAGGCTGCCAAATCTGTACCAAGATATAAAGGAGGAACTGTAATGTTCTGGGAAGGTATTATACTCGGAGCAAAAACTCTATTACCTCTAGTATTATTACCACTTCAACAAACTTTTAACGAGTCGGAGATATGTTGATTTGGTGCTAGAACCAATCGTTAGTCTTTGGAGAGGCACACACAGGGCGACATCGCATTACTATAATCAGATCTCAGCAGACTCAGCAAGATCATTTTTTACAATTAAATGCTCGACGCCGACCGAGTCTTACAGCACCAGAGCTTAGTTTAATTCTCCAGGAAACACATAATGTAACCGTTAGTCCTGACACTGTTCGTAATAGATTAAGAGAAGTCAACTTAAGAAGCAAACGCCCCTGGAGAGCTCAACCCTTAACGAGAGGAAATCGAGAGGTACGATATTTGTGGGCTCAAGATCATGTTCATTGGACGAATGAACAATGGGCCAATGTTCTCTTCACGGATGAGTCACGCTTTGGAATTCATCCGGATTCGAGAAGGCTTAGTGTATGGAGAGAACCGGGAAATCTTATTCGGTTGGATCATGTTCAGGAAGTGCACCCTTATCAAGGTGGAACAGTTATGGTCTGGGGCGGAATCCAGTTAGGCCGAAAAACCGATCTCGTTTTTCTTGAGAGGTTTCTAACAGGAATCACTTATCGTGATTTAATTCTTGAGCCTGTCGTGTTACCATATGCCAATGATTTTGGGAGAAACTTCATTCGCATGCATGACAATGCACGGCCTCATACAGCCAGAGTGGTAAGTGAGTTTATCAATGCTCATCATTTAAACATCTTACCCTGGCCGACACAATCTCCTGACCTCAACCCCATCAAACACGTATGGGACGCGGTCCAAAGAAGAATTTTGAGAATGGGTATGCCTCGTGAAACTCGTAGGGATCTGGTTCGGGCCGTGAATGCAGAGTGGCAGGCTGTACCTCAAGAAGAGATCGACAACCTGATCAGGAGCATGGAGAGACGATGTAGGGCTGTAATGAACAGTAGAGGAGGCCATACCCTTTATTAAGTAAAAATGGTTTTATCTTTTTTTTAATTCACAGTTTAGAATAAAAAAAATGTGTGTATTTTTCAAGTGAGTTCAAGTGAGTTCAATAAAAAACAAGGCTAATTTGAAAAATTCGGGAAATTTCGCATTTTTATTTCCAATACGTCCTATAAACTATTTGTTTATTTTAATTTTGTTATATCAGAAATGCAAATAATAAAATTACTGACGATGGCTGGATAAAATTGTAATATCCCTAGACTTTTCCGGTGTGTGTATTTACAGCAATTTTAGCATTGAAAGCATGCCTTTACTTTTCCTCATCAACACACTTACAAAATAGTGTTTATTGTTTTAGTAATATCACTGTTGAAAAGCTCACTGCCTGAAAAGTTATATTATTATTACACTCAGATGCAAAAAAATGCAACGAAGAAATAAAAAAAATAACTCTTTAAATTTTGGTCAAATTTAAAGTGTTATATTTTTGTTACTTTTAGTCCTATTTTCATTAATTTTTTAGCATTGAGAAAATATAAAAAAATTATTTAGTTGCATCTTTTCTAGACAACTTTTGTTGTATTTAACTGATTATTTTTGTTTTATTCATCAGCAATAAAAAACATATCTCAAACAAAGAATTTAATTGTATAATATTTAGAGTTTATAATTATTTTTCTTTGAAATAACAGCTAATAAAAAATTCTTTAAAACTGTTTTGAAACAATTTATCAAGAAAAAAAAGCGTCTTCGGTGAAAGGTCTTACTGCAATTATACTATTGAAAGGCGTATAATTTTTATCGATTATCCTATTAATATTTAAACAATATCGATAATAGAAAATATTTTCTGGCCATCCAATAGAGATAATTATTTTCAATTGCTCTAGACCTTTGGATTATTCATTCCAAGAATTGTCTTCCTTTATATACTCTACTGCTCTGAAATGTATTATTAATGGAGCTCTATTATTTGCACCAATCGTGGAAGGACAAAATTAGAGACATTCTGTCGTCAGTTGATTTCAAGTTTAAGATTAATGCATTCAAGAAATTGTACTAATATTCGAATGCATTGGGATCGATAATATATGCATATTTAATAATTGTAATAGGAATCTAGTTACTTACAAATAGTACTGTTAGATAGTCCTAATATACAGAGACGTACTTTATAAAAAAATGCGAAAGTTCTGTTTTATTTTGTATAATTATTGTTTTTTACTTTTTATTTCCTTGATTTTTTTAGCACACTGTATATAAATATATGAACTTAAAAAAAGCGTAAACTCAGTCTATTATAAACTTTAGTATTTGATTTATTATACACGGTTAATCGAAGGGTTGTTTTTTACCCTATCTTTAAAACACTCTATGCAATAATTTTGTGAGAAAAATTTCCTAAAACGTTATTTTTCTGTCAGAACCATGTCTCCTGAATATTTTGTTTTTTTGACTTATGTCAACATATGCCTTAGTTAATTTTTAAGTGCAAAATGTACTTGCCACAAACATTTTGCAATTTTTTGAATTATCTTTACTTTTTGATGTTATTCTTCATAATGACGAGGTGGCTTCGGTGATTATTGTTGTGTACGATTGAATATGGTTGTTAATGTCGAAGAATGTTCAAAAGTCATTGATCTTGTTGAATATGGTCGAAATTATGGATATTCGCTTGGTCCTTGAAGAAGAATGGGAAAACATAACACAATATACCGTATGATTTAAAAAAAATGGCGTCCAGTTGGTTTGGAAATGACGATCGATGACATTTACCATATAATTTTACATATAAAATGACAGCGATCTTCATTTCATAGCCATCGCTGACGCCGTTTTTATTCGATCATACGGTATTTCCAGCCTCGTTAACAGTATAATCCAACGCCGGGAGAGGCAATACAAAAGTTATTAGAGTATTTTTAACAAGTTGGTTGTTTATTTGTACTTAGTTATTTGTTTTATTATCTTTAGTTCTGTTAGTGTTACTGATATTTATTAAAACCAAGCCTGTATCGTTACTTTTTAACGTTTTTTTAAATTATAATATAGAGTTAATTAATCAACATCGATATGACATCACGACAATAGTCACCAAAGCCACCTCGTGATATTAAAAATAACATTATAAAGAAATGATAGTTGAAGAAATTGCAAATTGTTCCTTATTTCGCTCTTAAAAATTAACCAAGGCATGTGTTGTCATGAGTCAAAAAAGAAAATGCTCTGGAGACCTGAATCTCATCGAAAAATAATGTCTTTTTAAAATTTTCTCAGGAAGTTATTGCACAGGATGTTTTAAAGTTAGGGCAAAAAACAACCCTTCGATTAACTTTGTATAATAAGCCAAATACTAAAATTTATAAAAAACTAAATTTATGGATTAAAGTTGATAGATTTATATACAGTTTGCAAAAAAAAATCATAGAAATAGGGCTAAAAGTAAAAAAAAAATATAATAATAATACTTTAAACTTGACGAAAAGATTCTCCATTGTTTTTTTTTGTCTCTGAGTGTATTTTTATAAAATTCATATTTTGTGTAAAATAGTCTAGGTATACCTGAATTTAGTGGTTTTATGAATAGAAATTTTTTCAATATCAACTTCAGAACTAACCTTGGCAAAGCTGCCTTATTAAAAAAATCACCGGTGTTGGTTTATTTTTAATAAATTTATATTGCCTTTCTTTTAAGGGTATTCTCTACTTAATTTTTTATAGTAATTGATTAATTACTATACAGAGTAGGTGCTCATAAATTCATGATATCAATGCTTGTCAATACATAATACTCTATTTTTTTAAGATAATAACCTAGTTAAAAGGACATGGATAGTATCCAGACAGTTTTTTTAGTAAGGTTTTGAATTATTTTAAATAAAAATAAGAACCCCACTATATTTAGTATATTAAAAATAGCAGGTTAGTCGTGACTGACTAAGTTAAGAAAAAACTCAAAATTTAAGTAAGGATACAGTCAATAAATCACCACATAGGCTAATAAAACCACTTTTTTCAAACTTGTCAAGCTTTCGAGAATTTTATTCCCATAATCAGGACAGTTTGACTGAGTCAATTGGCAAAAAAACATCCTTTGCACAAACAGGCCTTAACTAGCATCGTATGACATTGTAAGGATATTTCCTTTATAAAATATTAAAATACATATCCAACGATATTACTTTTCTTTTAAACACAAACGAAAAAGATTTTTTTAAAATTTAATTTCTACATTGTTATTTCGAGCTCGATCAAACAGTGACTGAATCGAGCTGTAATTCGTAAACTAAGTTTTTTATAAACTCTAGTATTTGGCATATTATTATACAGGGTTAATTGAGAGGTTGTTTTTTTACCCTAACTTTAAAACACCCTGTGCAATAATTTTGTGTGTAAATTTTTCTAAAATATAATTTTACGGTCAGAACCATGTCTCCTGAGTATTTTGTTTTTTGATCCATGTCAATATATGCTTTGGTTAATTTTTAAGAGCGAAATGAACTTGCCATCAACAATTTCCAAATTTTCAATGATAATTTCTTTTTGAAGTAATTTTTCAATATGACAAGGCCGCTTTGGTAATTATTATGAACTTTATACTACTATAAACTGCCCATCATGTTCGACATTTGGGAAATGTTTGGCAGGAGGATTAGGTTAGTTAAATGAACTTTGCTAGGTTCTTAAAGAAGAATGAGAAAGCATAACGCAATATGGTATATGCAGCCTGAATGACAGTATGATCGGACGTATACAGGCAATTATATCAGCCAAGGGAGGCAATACAAAATATTAGGGTAATTTTACAAATTTTTTTTCTGTTTTTATACTGATGTATTACAGATGTTTTCTTTAATATCGTTAGTTCTGTTATCGTTATTAATGTTTATTAAAACCAGGACAGTTGGTCTTTAACGTTTTTTTTTTTAAATTTAGTATAGAGTATCCAATGCAGCGTAATACGACGTTACGACAATAGCTACCAAAACCATCTCGTTATATTAAAAAATTTCATTAAACAGTAATGATAATTGAAAAAATTGCAAATTGCTCGTGATCAGTTCATTTCGCTCTTAAAAATAAACCAAAGCATGTATTGACATGAACCAAAAAATAAAATACTCAGGAGTCATGGTTCTGGCTGTAAAATTATATTTTAGGAAAATTTACACACAAAAATATTGCACAGGGTGTTTTAAAGTAAAAAAACAATCCTCCGATTAACCCTATATAATATGCCAAATACTAAAGTTCATAAAAAACTTAGTTTACGAATTAAAGCTGATATAATAATATACAGTTTGCTAAAAAATTCATGAAAATAGGGCTAAAAATTACAAAAATATAACACTTTAAATTTTGTCTAAAATTTTCTCCGTTTCCTTTTTTTGCATCTGTGTGTAGATACATGTTTGCATATTTTTAGTAATTTTTGCATATTTTTAATAAAAATATTGGATATTTGTGTTTTCCTATACATTATATTTATAATTTTTTTTTACTTATTAAATATGTTTTTTGTGACTTACTGCTACGTAATCCGCTCCCAAATCGTACCAACAGTTCGTATTGTTCTGCATAGTGTAGTAATCATCAAACGTAGGGCACACATTGTTCGCTTGAGCATCGACGCCCCCGCCTGCCAGGACCGCGAGTACCATCAAAGAGATGAACCACATTGTCAGTACCCGTAGGGTACTCACCGCGCACCGTGCCATGGCTCGTGCGAACAGTTGGTACCATTTAAAATGGGTAAATGGTACGTATTCTTGAAAATGAGCCGCGGTCTCGGCAAGGACCTTGACTGTTAAGCAACAATTTTGTCCTGTGTGCGATAAAAATGTGCCCCTGCGCGACTTACTGGTTTTCAGTTCGCCCATTTCAGCCTTTCGCAGGGTCGTACTTGGGTAGATTTCCTCTGTATTTCTCCTATTTTTCGTAAATTTGAACCAATAAATATGTTGAATTTGCTGTAAATATCTACACTCAGATGCAAAAAAACGGAGAAATTTTGGTCAAATTTAAAGTGTTATATATTTGTTATTTTTAGCCGTATTTTCATAATTTTATTAGCAAGCTGTATATAATTTTATCTATGTCAGTGAGTTAAGAAGCTCTTAACTCACGCATTTTCAGTACCGCACTCCATGTTTAGATGACTACCAAAGAGAAAAAAATATTTTGTAAAACATTTATTTTGTACTAAATACCTACTAAATGCAAATAAACTGTTCTATTGACAATAATTATAAAATCATGAAAACTTATTTATTATATATATGTTGATGATATAGTGTGAACAATCTTTCAAGTAAATGCCTGATGAAGCATATATATTCATTTTAATAGATATCATAGTACGTATCATTGAATAGAAAGCCCAAAGAGACAAAGGCTTATAAGTAGCGGATAATTTGGAAAACTATGTTATATGACTATCTTTTTATTCCCATAGTCGGTATTAGCACCCTTGCTTTTCAACCTGTATATAGCCGACATACCAAAAACGATATGTAGAAAGTTCGGATATGCCGATGACTGGGTTATAGCCACCGGACATAGGTCAATGGAAGTTACTGAGCAAGTCTTAACATCTGATTTGTCAGTACTAGCAGAGTATTTTCGCAAGTGACGGCTTAAACCAAACCTTTGTAAAACAGAGGCTTCTTGTTTTCACCTCAATAACAGAGTGGCAAATAGGGAACTTGAGGTATACTTTGAGGGAAGACGGCTCTCACACAACAGACAACCCACATATCTTGGAGTTACGTTGGATAGAACTCTGTCATTTAAGGTCCATCTCACCAAGGTTGCTGCAAAAATACGCACACGGAACAACATATTACAAAAGCTATGCGGCACCACCTGGGGATCATCTGCGGCCACTCTAAGAACATCAGCCTTGAGCCTCGTGTACTCAACGGCCGAATACTGTTCGCCTGTCTGGTTGAATAGTGCCCATGTCAACAAAGTGGATGTCCTGCTGAATATCACAATGCGAATCATCTCAGCGGCTATACGAACTACGCACACATACTGGTTGCCTGTTTTAAGTAACATACCTCCTCCTAACTTGAGGAGAAAACAGGCTTTACATAGAGAACACAAGAAAATATTGCTAAACAGGGAACTACCAGTACATTGTGACATAGCGGATCTAAATATTAATAGACTCCGCTCAAGAAAGCTACCACTCTCATCAAAAACACTTGGGAATACTGACGAGAATGCAGAGTTCAACTTATATGATGCATGAATGAATGAATGAATGGAAAACGCTCCACCACAAAGTCGGGATTTTGCATGTATTTCAGCAGTTCCTCCTGTTTTTGAGCAGCCTCGCAAAATATGGGTAACTCTAAACAGGCTGAGAACCGAACATGGTAGGTGCATGGATTCTCTCTATAAATGGGGAAAGGCAACCACTCCGGTATGTAATTGTGGAGCTCTACGACAGACTGTTCGACATATCAAAGAGGAATGCGCTTTAACGGCATATGAGGGAGATTTTGGAGATTTCCTGAAGGCAACACCAAGTGCGATTGATTATATAAAAAGACTAGATGTTTGTTTGTGACAAGTTTGTTTTGTACTATATTTTAAATTTTCCTTTTTTAAATTTTGTGTTTGACATGTCCAATTTTTGTTCGTATTCTTATTATTAGTATATTTACAGCTGTGATAATAACATGTGATTTTATGTGTACTAGAGTCATACGCTAAATAATATATTCCCATAGTTGTGTACTTTTTTTTCGGTGCACCATTTTTCATACTTAGAGTATGTATATTCATACTTCTGTTTCGATCTTGCTGGAAGCAATCCAAAAATTGCTTTGAATGCCTCTTCTTCAATGTCAGAGGGAATACTTTCCGAATCGCTCATTTTTTAAACTAATGACATCAATATTATTTACTCATTACTGTCATATTAACATTGCCATGCATGGAGTTATTTGAACAAAGGTATTAAGGTAATTGATTTTTAGGATAGGTATATAGTTAAGTACCATAATTTTTAATATTTATTGTGTGTTTTTATAGTTAGACGTATACTCTGTTTTTTTTTTCTCAGGTAAGATTTCGACAGACGATGACAGAAGAAAAGCAGATGACGTCCCATACCAATCTATTTATTTTACTAAAAAAAGTTTCTAATAATTTTTAAGTTATCTATGGATGGGTTTAAATATAAATCCGTCATACGTCGTGTCTTGTTGTTTTTAACCAGTTTTATTGGTTTATTTAAAAAATGACAGATCGTATTTCAATTTTATTGGTTTGACGGAACTATGAACGACAAACGGACGCCGAATGCGTATGAACTCGCCTTTAGATTTTTGTCATTTTTGACGCTTGTCAAAGTCTTGCCAAATTATAGGTTATAATTTTGTGTCAACTTTTGTTAAATACCCTGCGTTTTGGAAGATGATGCATTTTGATTCGTATTATTACGTGTGTTTTGTGTCTTTTGAAGTCAAGTGGAGGAAAAATCGAGTGAAAATTAACTGTAGACCCAGGCAGAAAGTCTTACACCAATGAACTTGCCATCGATAAAGTTTGTATACCATTTCGTCGTAGACAAGTGCATCTCGTATATTGTAGAAGGATCAAACTAAACACATACTAAAAACTGGAGTAGCTGTAAAATATCGACATCACACGATAGGTAAATAATGGATTTTAGTACTGCAGAAAAATAATGTCAAAAGGTACTGGTTTAAAAAAATTAAGATTAAAGCAGAGTTAAAGTTAATTAATCAACCTTTAAGGTATACAATTTGGTAGGTGTTATTATTAATAAAATAGTTTGTTTTATTTGCCTAAGTTGTTTTATTTATTCCTGTGAAATATTACAAATTTGGGTAATTTGTATTTGTACATAAGTTATATTGATAAATATAATCATAAATGCGGGTAGTTTTCATAAAGCTTGAACGTAAATAATAGTTCTTTTTTATATTTTTTTGGTATGTAGTGTCTTGTTCTTGTTTGTTTTGTATTAACACATACCGCTTTTATTAAATAAAATAACTCGATTACATTTTTTCAGTTTTATGCAGTTTTTTTCACAATATTTTGAAGTAACTACTTACTTGTCATCTTGTCAATCAAATTTTAAATACCTATATCCTGATATGCGTTCCAGTTGTACCAACTTATTTCTTTGTAAAATAAAATAAACTACTTTGAAATTAAAATGACAGACACATCTATCACTGTCAAGGATCTTCTCGTTGGACAGACTATAGATAAAATATTGTACAAAACACGCGCGTTAACTCCATTAAGATACTTGTGCGGTTACACAACTCGTGCTACGCACTCGTGCAACTTTCACATGCGTATTTTAATGATGCTATTGACTCACTTGTATCGTAAATATCTAATATCAACTGTAATTCCTAAACTCAGTTTTTTAGAAACTTTAGTAATTGGCATATTATACAGGGTTAATCGAGGAGTTGTTTTTTTACCCTAATTTTGAAACACCCTGTGCAATAATTTCGTGTGTAAATTTTCCTAAAATATAATTTTACGATCAGAACCATGTCTCTTGAGCATTTTGTTTTTTGGATCATGTCAATACATGCCTTATTGGTTAGTTTTTAAGAGCGAAATGAACTTGCCACCAACAATTTGCAATTTTTTCAATTATCATTTCTTTTTGAAGTTATTTTTGAATATGACAAGGCGGCTTTGGTAATATTGTGAACTATAATATACGAATATGAACTGCCCATCATGTTGGACGTTTGGGAAATGCTTGGCTGGGTTAGTCTAAATGAAATGATGACACTGAAAAATTATTTGGAAATGCGGAAAGGGCAGTTTTTGCAAGGGTAAGGGGTTGTTTCGTGAATAACTTTTTTGAGGTTATTTTTTTTGCAACGTGGGTTCATTTTTTGAAAACTACATACCCTTTCCTACAAAAAGGTACTCTTGTTGCACATCGCCCAGAGTGATGGTTATCGAGAAAATTGAAGACAAAGAGTTTGCTCTGATAGGTTGCTAACTGGTTAATCAACATAAATTTATGAAAGTTATGGCGGTTCAAAAGTAACCAAGTAGTTATTAAATAATTAATTGGAATATCAAAATTTCATGATTTTTAAAACATCTTTTTGCTTTAAAAACGAAATAAACTAATTACGAAAATTCCTTATTAAAATAACGCATTCCTTAATTCATTCATAGTAAATGTTCAAAGTGACCACCATTCATTCCAATGCAGACATCTGCTCTTCTTCTCCAAAATCTGCGTACCCTGTTGAATATCCTTGGTGTTGTCCGAATTTGATTGGAACAGTCAATAATGCGTTGCTGTAGTTGCTCTTCAGTATTAATCGGTACTGAGTAAACCATAGCTTTGTTATTTCGTTTTTTAAAGCAATAAGATGTTTTAAAAATAATGAAATTTTGATTTTTCAATTAATTATTTGATAGCTAATTGGTTACTTTTGAACCGCCATAACTTTCATATGTTTATGTTGATTAACCAGTTAGCAACCCATCAGAGCAAACTCTTTGCCTTCAATTTTCTCGGAAACCATCACTCTAGGCGATGTGCAACAAGAGTACCTTTTTTGTAGAAAAAAGTATATAGTTTTCAAAAAATGAACCCACGTTGTAAAAAAAATAACCTCAAAAAAGTTATTCGCGAAACAACCCCCTACCCTTGCAAAATCTACCCTTTCCGCTTTTCCAGATAATTTTTCAGTATCACCATTTGATTTAGGGTCAAAATTTATGGCGGAGGATTTTTTTTCAAAATGTTATCTTGTTTTTTAAGCCTACAATTTTAAAACAACCGTATTTTTAATTCACCCTTTTAGTGCCCCTAGCTCCCTTAATATGTATTTTCCGCCCTATACTTCTAGAAACTTTTTTTACTATTTTTAGGAGTACTATCACCCCCCGATTTTTTTACACCATTTCAATGACACCCTGTATACAGTTTGCTAAAAAATTCATCAAAATAAGGGTAAAAATAACAAAAATATAACACTTTAAATTTGACCAAAAATTTTTGGTATGTATAAAAAAAAGTGTATAAAAAAATATTAAATTTTCTTGATTCCACTCCATTCTGCATAAATCGACTAAGTAAGAAAAATATGACTGACAGGTAACAGGTAGGGAAAATATTTTTTGGAGGAACACCAATTTTTAATATTGTGTTTCAACAATAATTTTAGAAGTGTGACAGGCACTCCATACAAAGATTATTTTAAATATTTTTCTAGGAGCTATGGTATTTACACTAATCTGTAATTCCAACTGATCGTATTAATTAATGATACATTTTCGTTTGGTATTACCCGTTATTAAGAAGAAAAAATAGATTGACGTTGTGGTTTTCAACTTTCACAATATTAAATGTCAATGTTATGTAGACACTTATACAGAGTAAAAAGTTGTTTTTTTATCAATCATCAAAATATGTTTTCTATCATAAAAATACCGAGATATGCACTATGCAGGTATAAAGGAATATGTGCAGAAAAATTCACTGAGTGACTCAAGTTTTTAAAAATAAGAATTTTTTTAGTATATAATTTTTTTATTTGACGTTTCCCTAAATAGTTATTTGCTTAAACAGTGTAAATCATATATTTTGTGAACCATATGTGAACCAATATTATATGACATTCATGCAATTTAATTTTTGAAATAGACAGCCACATGTTTTCTCTAAATTCACTAAATTCGACGTTTAGTCGACTATACGCATTTTTTTACGTCCAAAAATTAAAAAAAAACTCTCAAAAACGGTTAATGTTAGGTATGGATTATTTAATATCAAAATTCAGAAAATTTTACAGGGAATTTAAGTATATATGTAATAAAAAATGGGGGTACAAGTTTAAAATAAGAAACTTGCAGTCAAACACACATACTTCCTGTATTTCCGGAAGTGCCGCCATATTGAAAATATTTTTAATCCAGAGATCTCGATGTAAAACAATGATGTACAAAAAATCTCCGATCTAGATATTGTAGTTCTCTAGAAACTTCTAATGTACGCTCAGCCTGGGACACCCTGTATACCATATAATCCAAAAAAAAAAAGTCAAGTTGGCATGAAAATGACGATCGATGCTATTCATATACTTTTATACACAAAATGACAGCAATCTTTATTTCCCGACCATGTCTGACGCCGTTTTTTTTTATCGTATGATATTTGATAATACAGGGTGGGTCTTAAATAAGTGCAAATATTTTTAGGGGTAGTATACCTATTTCCACTCCAGAAACACGATTATGAGTTTTTTTTTCACCAATTGGAATTTTTGGAAAAAAATTTTCGGAATATTTTTAGTTTTTAGTTAAAAAACATAATTTGTTGATAATTGGCAACATAGGTAGTAGATTAAATTTATAAGAAAGGAAATCCAGAAAAGATAACCAAAAGATGATTTTCTTTAGATGTATATTATAATAGCATGTGAAAATCTTCAATCTTACTTAAATTCTGTTAGTATGAATAAAACTATTTATCTTTGTTTACCACTCTCTCTGTTTTTGTAAAATGTTATATATTTTTGACATTTTTTATTTATTTAGGTACTTGAATATCAATTTTATGAAAAATTTCTCGAGCCTACCCTGAACTATATTTGTATTAAAAGGTATTATTAGAACGCGTGCATAAAATATACCAATATTAATTAGTGCATTATGGAAGTCCTTTTGCTCTTTCATAATAGCATACAGAGTGTTTATAATACCGGCAGCGCGGCGGTTAATAATAACTGGAAAATTTACCAACCACAAATTTTGAAAAATGCCCAAAGTGAATGGGCACTGTCACGGACACTAAATTGTATATTGCGGTTTGAACCATTTGATTATATGCAAAATTCAAGTACACCTGCTATATGTTACACTTATTAAAATAATATTGCATAATATTTATTGATTGGGCATGTAACAGAAAATTATTTTAACCGTTTCTAATGCACTCGACTTTGAAAACGGAATGAAAAATAAAGCACCACACGAGTTTTTTACTTAAAATATTTTTTTATTTATTATATTAAATATAATATACAGGGTGGTCCCAATTGTATTCGTGAAACTTGGGCGGCAAATTCTGCAGATAAAAATAATTAAAAAAGTTCGTATAAATGTATGCCTTAAAATGCTTAGTTTCAGAGATACAGGGTGTAGAAGTTTCATTTTTAAGCTTCATTTAGAACCTCCCAATTAGTGGAATAAATTATTGGTTTCAATTACACTTTATACCGTATGATCGAATAAAAACGGCGTCAACGATGGCTATGAGATGAAGATCGCTGTCAGTCTATATGTAAAATTATATGGGAAATGTCATCGATCGTCATTTCCAAGCCAACTGGACGCCGTTTTTTTTCGATCACACGGTACTTTTTAGTTTACGATCATTCACAATGTCTAAAAACACAATTAAAATTAATAAAATATCCTAGCAACAGCTTGCGATAGTCTGTTGTATCCATAGAGAAAGCATAATATTTAACTTATAAAACAATAAACTTTTGACTTCTAACCAAAATTTTTCTTGACGGGTGAAAATCAAAGGCCAAAATGACATTCCTCGCAAATTTTGAAGTATAATTAGTGGAAAAGTCAAAAGTTTGTTAACTTTTTAAAAAGAAATTACTACCACTAATTATGACGTTCTGAATGCTTACATTAAAATTAGGTGAACAAACTTCTACTGCTAATTGAAACTACTAATTTATTCCACTGATTTCGAGGTTCTGAATGAAGCTTTATTTCGAAATAATTATTTTTTTTCCAAATCATTTCTGAAGTAACGTCAATATTTGGATGAAAATTGTTGTCTGGGAATTTTTTGACATGAGAAATTTGATTTAGATGTCAATATGACTCCTATTTGTAAAGCGCTAAAAAATGCGCTGTTAAAATATTTTTAACTGGTTTGAAGAGTGATAGCTTTTCGTCTGTACCTGTATAAAAATACCGATTAAAAAATATACATTTTTGATGTTTTTTACGTAAAAAAGGTATCTTGGTAAAAATCGTTACGAGCAACCGTCCTTTAGAATGCAAATAGTCAATACATGTTATTATTACAAAAAATAAAGATGTTAAATGTTAACCATAAAAAAATTGGAATCAAAATAATCAATACATATCATAATCAACAAAAATTGAATATGATAATTATCAGATTGATATAAATTTGAAATGTTTTTGTGCCAAAGGTTGAACAGCTGTTAAAACTGTTTCTTCATACTTTTTTTCTAAAAAATAATAATAGTAATAGCTCCGGTATATAGCGTTTTAACGCCTTGGGAGGTACAGCTTGCTATACTAGAGCCGTTCGGTATACAAGGAAGGTAATGTGGCTAGCACTACGCTTCAACCGCCCATTATTACCTCAGGATTGTGAATCCCAAGTACTCATTTAAGGCTGAGTCGACCTAGGTACCCAAACTATTTTTATTTTAATAAAAATAGACGGCTGATGAAATGCCGGGTGTGGGAATCGAACCCACACCTTGAGATTGGTAGACGAGAGCCTCTAAAGAATTATGATTTATTTAAAAAAAATAAGAAGTTTCCAATTTTATCATTTCAGTCAAAGAACTCTCTGGTCAATATATTTATTTTTTGTCAATAACGACATTTATTGATTTAAATTTAAAATATTTTGAGAAGGGTTAATTGTAGTGATTTTTACCAAGGTAATTTTTAACGTAAAAAATGGTGGAAATATATATATTTTTGGTCAGGAGTTTTGTACAGGCACGGACGAAAAGTTATCGTTCATTAAAGCAGTCAAAAATATGTAGGTGGCGCCTTCTACAAGCAGGAGTCATAATGGCATCAAAATTAAGTTTCTCATATCAAAAAACTGCCAGATACCAATTTTCATCCAAATATAGAAGGTAGCTCAGAAATTATTTGGAAAAAATCGAAATAAAAATGAAAGTTCTACGTCCTGTATCTCCTAAGCATTATAGGTCATACATTTATAAGAACTTTTTTACTTATTTTTTATCTTCAGAACATGCTGTATGCTGTCGAAATTTTCCAAATCCAATTCGGACCACCTTGTATATTTAGCATACTAGAATAATAAAATATATAAGTTACATATTAATATTCCTTAAAGCTAATATAATACAGCAATTTGAACACTTTGGATTTTTTTCTAAACATACTTTTTTATAAACTAATAGTGTTCTGAGAGTATTGTTTTTGGCTTCTCTTTAGAAAGTTTTCTATTATCTTTAGTATGGGCTTCGTCACCAACTTGTCGGCATTTTTTCCAAAAAAATAATCGTTGTGGTTGAAGTTCATTTTCTCCACCCCGTATATTCCTGCTCTGATCGACTCAGGTAGTTGTTTGTATAAATAAAATGCATCCTGAAAAGTAAATAAATATTAGTGAAAATTGTGCGATCGACTAGGCTAGACGATCCTCTGAGAGTAGGTTTTAGCGGAGCAGAAGCACGGAGATACCTCCGACTGCTCCACGAAAGACTTGCCCCAGAGGAAGCAAAAGCGAAAACACTCCTACGAAAAGGGGAGAGTAAAAAAACCAAGAATCAGCCTGACTCATCTCCATCAAAGGGCAAGGGAGGGAGCGAGAACCTCTCACCTCTTCTTCGGCAGGGAGATAAAAAAGTTAGGATGGAAAGCCGTCCAACACCGGGAGGCAAGCAGGGGCGTATCACCAGCTTTGCCGCTATTGCTGGACATGTAAAAGTGGCGGTGCTGCCAAAGGATTTCCCAGAGGTTGCTCTAACCACCGACCAGCAACGTCTCTAGAAGAGGCTATACTGGACGAAGTAGTGGCTATCGGATCGCAATACAACGATCTACAAACTGTGCGTCAGCTGCGTTTTGCGGGGATATACACTTTCGGGTGGGCATGATCCTCATAGATTGTGTATCTCAAGAATCGGCGAATTGGTTGGTGGAAATCGCACCAAAGCTTAAAAATTGGCAGGGGCCGGAACTGGTTACAGTGAAGGGAGAAAACATCCCTAAAGGGGCGGCCATCACGGTTTTTCTGCCGAGGAGCAAGAGGAAATACACCATCTACCTGCTAAGCCTTATCCAGGGTCAGAACTTCAATGTAAGGACATCGAGTTGGCGAGTCATCAACTCGAGGGAGGAGGGTCACGGTCAGGTCCTCACAATAAGAATTGACCTCAAATCCAAGGAGGCAATAAAGAAAGAGAGACATATCCTCTATTATAGATACGGGACAACACCGGTATCAGGGCTAAGGAGAGACTAAGTTAAAGAGGTGGTGAAAATAAAGACAGATCCTCCAGTCTCAACCTCACGGGTTCCTCAGCCGTCCAGGTGCTCCTCGACAGTGAAGGGCGGCACGGAGGGCCAAATTCCAACCGTGGAAGGCTGTGTACCCTCGGAGGAAGAACTGTTATCAGAGGAGGATGGGAAATACCATGTCCCCTCTACAACAGCGGTATGATGGGTTATAGACTGTGTGATGACTCGAGGAAGGGGGACACGATAGATCTTTAAGGTCGCAGTGATTGCCCCCCCCCTCTTACTCATTCTACATTCGAAGTATGCAATAAAAACTGGGGGTACCCATTTAAAATAAGAAATTACTGTCAACTTCCGGTATTTCCGGAAGTGCCATCATATTAAAAATATTTTTAATCGATAGATCTCATTGTGAGACACTAATATCCAAAAAATCTCAAATTTAGATGTTGAAACTTCTAATGCACGCTCACCCAAACACCCTGTATAGTATAATTTTATTAAAATATCGATACATGATATTGAACAATGTTTAATAAAGCACTAATAATAAAATTGTTCTGTTACCTGTTTGGTAGTGGTCCAGTCATTTCTAGCATAGATTATGAATGTGGGCACCTCAATTTTTTTAATGTCGTACTCCGGAGGCGCGGTGGAACCATAAACATGATTGTTTTTGCCAGGTCCATAATCGTATTTTCGGAAGTTCCCTCTAGTGGACTCCCTCAAAAATGTCATTGTTTTCAGTGACGTCCCGCCAGGAAATTGGTTAAAATAAACTGGAATTGTTTCCTGGAAATAATATATCGATATTTTGAGAATTTAGAAAGACACAATCAGCAATTTAATAATGGCTTATTAATAATTTATCTAAAGTAAATTTGGATATACAGGGTTGTTCACCACATACGACACAGAGTATTGTAGCTAAACGATTATATTTTTACAAATTGTAAGTTCTGAGTTCGTTGAAGGACTATTAGAGCTACAATTTAAAAATATTTTTACAAGATACAAAGTGTCCCAAACAAGTAAAAAATATTATAGTTGTATTTTTTAAATGGAAAACCCTGTATATTGTTCTATTTTTAGATTCTACGATTAAAATAAAGGTAAATTTCATTAAGGTTTATCACACATAAATAAACACCGTTTTTGAAATATTTTCAATTTTATGAAATTGCAGTAAAAATTTTAAGGCTTCATTTCTCCAAGGGTATCGAAGTTTTTAATACTAAATATTTACTAAAGTTTATTTATTGATCAGATATTGTTTTGCAATAATAACAATACTACTACCGTATACAGAGTGTCTAAAAATTTATATTAAATAATTAATAGCTTTAAACGGCAATAAGTTGTTTAACTTAAATGGAACACCCTGTATATTTTACGATAATCAGATGCACAATTTAATTGTCTATCAAATTGTACTATACCATTTCTTACCTATCTCTTCAAGTTTTCGTAGAAAATGCATTTTCTTATAATTTAGACCTCATTTATCACTATACCCATGGAATATGGACAATTTAGATCATTTTTAAAGATGTAACACATCTTCAAAATTTAAAAGACAATATTACAGATACTAATATTGTCGATATAGTTCGCTTATTTCTTTTTAAAGAGGACCAATTAATATGATCCCAGTATTCAAACTACATTAATTGGCCGTTTACGTTGATTAACAATAATTGCTCCAAATACTAAAAAATTGAATTTTGTATGTATTTTAGACAGTGTGTAAAAAGCAACATCTTATAAATTTTATTTCTTTTTTTGGCAAATGCTTTTTTATAACAACAGAGATGATCATTTTCATAACTTATTATTGCATTGATTTCTGAGTCAAATCCATATTTATTTAGAATAATTTATTAAATAAAACAATTGAATATGTAATTAACTAATTTTTGGGCGGAAATAATGTTGGTATATTAATAATTAGCAATACTTGGTATACTCTTTTACAAATATTTAATAGTTTTCTTTTTGTAAACAAATAAGCTTGCACTATTATTATTTTTACTATCTGTACATTTTGTACATATTATGTTGCTTTAAAAAAATCCAAAATGTCAATAATATTCCATGGGTATAGTGATAGGTCTGAATTATAAGAAAAAGCATTTTCTACGAAAACTTGAAGAGATAGGTAAAAATGTAATACAATTTGATAGACAATTAAATTGTGCATCTGATTCGCGTAAAATATATATGGTGTTCCATTTCAATTAAACAAGTTATTGCCGTTTAAAGCTAGTAATTATTTAATATAAATTTTTGAACACACTGTATAAATTAGTATAATTTGTATTATTGCAACACAATATCTGATCAATGAACAGCAATCTTCAGTAAATATTTGGTATTAAAACCTTTAATACCCTTGGAGAAATGAAGCCATAATTTTTTTACTACCATTTCACAAAGTTGAAAATATTTCAAAAACGGTAAGGTTTAAGTGTGATAAACCTTAATGAAATTTACCTTTATTTCAACCGTCGAATCTAAAAATAGAATAATATACAGGATGGTCCATTTAAAAAATACAACTATAATATTTTTTACTATTTGGGACACACTATATTTTTTTAAATTATTTTTAAATTGTACCTCTAATTGTACTTCCCAAAACTTACAATTTGTAAAAATCTAATCGTTTAGCTACAATACTCCGTGTCGTATGTGGTGAACAACCCTGTATTTTGTGTCGAGATTAGGGTTTCCAAACCGGAATCTTGAAATCCCGGAATTCGATTACTTGTTCCAAACTAAACGATTTTATACTCACTGGAGCTATATCTGTAAATGGCCCAGTAAACATATTCAACAAAGCCGAACAACCCAACATCAACACTGGCGACGCCAGACACGTGGGCCTAGTTAATCTTCGGGAATATCCTCTAGAAAACAGTTGAACTAGATTAAGAGATTTTGACAGGTCCTAAAAAATTGTAATAATACTGATACTCTTCTACTTCGTGTTCGCTAAAAATAGGTTTATCGGTGCAAAGCTAACTCTTAACTTTTTTATTATTAAAAGTCTGTATAAATGCAATATTGGGCCCAAATGTGAATGGAATTATTGAAATATTCTTGTAACTTTCAGGTTTCACTTTTTTTGGTTAATTTTGATGAGTCTATCTCTTTTTTCCTCTTTCAAAATTTTCGAAAACGGTATGGTTTCCTTGGTTCATCTGTAAAGCTTTATTCAGAACCTCGCATTTAATAGAACAAATTAGTGGTTTCAATTACACTTACAATACTACATAGAGAGCCTATTATTTAGCTTATCTACATTGTTCTTCGCAGATGATCAGATAGTTATTTCTGAAGACGAAGAAGATCTCAGTTATATGATCAGAAAACTCCAAGAAGAATACGAAGCCGCAGGTCTTCAGATGAATCTCTCGAAATGTGAATACCTTATAGTAGGCCATGAAGAGATAAATGACCTAATCTTAGACACTGGTATGATAAATGGAGTGAAATCTAGTAAATACCTTGGAATAATATTTAATAAAAAAGGAAATGAAATACAAGAAAGAGTAAATAAGTGTAGAACAATAATCAGAACATTGAACTCCCTTCTCTGGAATAAAAAAATTAATAGATCCACAAAAAAACGCATTTATAGTAGCCTAGTCCAAAAATCCAGAAATATGGGATGTTACAAAAGCCAATAAAAATAAACTCATGGCAACTGAAATGGATTTTTAAGAAGAAACTGCGGACATCCTGAATGAACTCATTCAGGTTTGAATTAATTTGAGGTTCTGAATGAAGCTTGAAACTACCACTAATTTTAACGTTCTGAATGCTCACACTGAAATTAAAGGAACAAAGTTCTAAGCTAATTCAAACCACTAATTGCGATGTTCTGCATGAAGCTTAATCATGGAATTAATGACATTAAAGCTTCATTCAAAACGTCAAAATTATTAGTAATAAAGAATGTTTAAGCTATCGCACCAGTGTGCGTACACGCGACGGCCGCGATCACGATATCATCGCGGCCGCGGCCAAAAGTTGCTGAACAATTCATATGAGCCGTTTAACACTTAGTTCAGTCATTGGGGATCAAAAAAGGAGCCTGCTTGGAAAAAAGTCCGGAGGTTTTGAAACTTTGCAGGTTTATAGGTTTTGGGGTCCCTAACTAAAATCCATAAAATGCAGATTTCCAGACTTGCCGCCGGCGCCGCCACCTTGCAAAGATGGCGCCCAAAATCGGTATTTTGTGAATATCTCGAAAACTATCCGTTTTTCGTGAAAATTTGAGGAGAGCAAAATTAAAGAGAATAAAATTTCCTATAATTTTTCCTATAAAATAGCTAAAGTCAACCGTTTAGGCACAAAATCCCTGGAAATTTTACAATTTTGCGTAAAATATGATACCTATATTACGTATAGTCGATTTTCCGAAATCAAATGTCGATTAGGGTTCACTAAAACTAGTTTTAGTTTAGTTTCTTCAATTTTGTCATGAAACAGTGGCGTATCATTAATTTATGAATAATTAATTGTCGTGCTGTCAATACAGCATTCATTGCGAACTTACCACCCGGTTCAGCATTGGTCTGGTTGTACCAAAGATGCCGAAGAATGGGGTTGGAAGAAAGCGAAAACAGGCATTACTCACTGGAGTAATGCCTGTTTTTGTTATGACTGCACAACGTTTAAAGATCCTGTAAATTGTAAATGCAAAACCTACAACTATGGTAAAGCCTGCGGATACAGAAAAGCAGTGATCCTGTGACAACGTCACTGAAGTGTCACTCGACGAATCCGATGAAGAGGAGTTGGACTTGCCTGTAGATATCCCTCTGGCGGCTGAAGATAAAGAGTTGGACGTATTGAGAGACCACCCTGACGAGCCCAGCACAGCAAACACGATCGACTTTGACATCAATGAGCCAGATCCGTCGGGCTTGTGCAGATAAGTTAAAGTTTTTAATTTATCTAGTGGAGTAGGCCTCCGGGGAGACCACGTTAAAATAAACGCGCCATATACTTTACCTCTTGGGTGGTGTGGAAACAAGTACACATTTTCAATAATTATAATTAATTATTCATAAATTAATGAGCAAATTTATGATACGCCACTGTTTTATGACAAAATTGAAGAAATTAAACTAAAACTAGTTTTAGTGAACCCTAATCGACATCTGATTTCGGAAAATCGACTGTGGGTCAAATTCGACGCTTTTGAATGGAAACATCCTTTTCTATAGGAGATAGACAAAAACTAATATCGGTGTCTGGAGCTCAATTGTTGTCAAAAACATGATGGTGAAAACCGCATATCGATATCTGTTACCGTTTCGGAGTTACGGGGTGTTTTTAAAAAATATGCATTTTTAACAAATCGCTGTAACTTTTTTGCTATAGAAAATTTTGTATTTTTATGAAAACATTTCCAAAGCAACTTTTTACGTAGAATTTAACGGTTTAAGTATAATTTTTTTAAAATTAATAATTTAAGAATTATCAACAGAAAATTTGATTTTTTATATGGGACACCCTCTATATTTTTAATTTATTGAAAAGAATTTAAAATTACCTTTCCAAAATTATAACACACTTGATATTTTGCTCGATTCCTCTTTAAGATATAGAGTATATAAAATTCGCCCGCTTTAAATAAGTAGGCTTTGAACGACACCGAAAAAATTCAAGATATGAGCATCAATTAAAACGAAAATAATATTTGCTATAAGAGATGCAGAATTGTATAACAATTTAAAATATATTTAACCTACATCAACACATTTAAACTATATCTAATAACAATAAAAATAAATAGCAAACCAAGACATGAGATTTTGCTACAGGTGTTCGACATATCGACCGTCTCCTGTTATGGACAGACGGGGCAGTTTTTGAACATTTCTCGCGGAATTCATTAACTCAGTGGGGGTGAAAGATACCCTCTCATAACTGCTAAGTATTTCTAACCTTTATTCTTCCGCAAATATATCCATAGGATTAGATCCATGGGTACTAAATCAGGCGGCCTCGACGGTCAACGGCTGGGACCTTGGTTAACTATTCAATTATTCTTGAAATTGACTGCAAAAATTTGCTGATAACTTCAGCGTTCAGAGGTGGTGTGTAGTCTTGCTGGAAAAATATGTTTTCGAGTTCCATTAAGGGCATATCATCAATAAGGGGTCCAAAGCCTACTATAGTTAAAACTGGCGAACTGTTAAAAATTCTCTATTTCGAAGGGGATTATAACAAAATATCAAGTGTGCTATATTTTTGGAAAGGTAATTTTAAATTCTTTTCAGTTAATTAAAAATATAGAGTGTGTCCCAAATAAAAAATCGATTTTTCTGTTGATAACTCTTAAATTATTAATTTAAAAAAAAATACTTAAACCATTAAAATCTACGTAAAAAGGTGCTTTGGAAATGTTTTCATAGAAATACAAAATTTTCCATAGCAAAAAAGTTACAGCGATTTTTTAAAAATGCACATTTTTGAAAAACACCCCGTAACTCCGAAAAGGTAACAAACATATATATTTTGATATTGTTGTGCAGTTTTTACCATCATATTTTTGATGAAAATTGAGCTCCAGATACCGATATTAGTTTTCGTCTATCTCCTATAGAAAAGGGTGTTTCCATTTAAAAGCGTCGAATTTGACCCACCCTGTACATAATATATCATATTTGACGCAAGATTGTAAAATTTTTAGCGAACTTTAGCGAATATTTTCGTGAAACCTTTTTTATAGGAAATTTTATTCTCTTTAATTTTGCTCTCCTCAAATTTTTGCGAAAAACGCATAGTTTTCGAGATATTCACAAAATACCGACTTTGGGCGCCATCTTGGCAAGGTGGCGGCGCCGGCAGCAGGTCTGGAAATGTGCATTTTATGGATTTCAGTTAGGGACCCCAAAACCTATAAACCTGCAAAGTTGCAAAACTTCCGGACTTTTTTCCAAGCAAAAATCCCCAATGACTGAACTAACTGGCGCGATCGAGTTTTAAAGACGAAGCGGCCTGGCGGCGTTCTATTCTGCGGTGACGATCAGATTCAACTTGTCGAGTTTGATCGCGTGATCGCGACCCAACTGATAGGAATTTTCCATTATTTTGTGTGTCTTTTCTTGTTGCAATTTCGAAATGGAGTTAACAGAGCAGCTAATTAAGGCTGTAAAAATACACAAAATTCTATATGGTTTATCTGATCCAAGTTAAAAAAATAATAGAATTAAAAATAAAAAGTTTGAGACAAAATTAGAGTTGCAATTGGATTGGATAGTACATATGTATACATTTTTATTGTTTAAGTTTAAATATTGTAGGTAAATATTTAAAAATGTTTTTTTTTTGGGTATTTATAATTCACATTTTTAATTTGTACCTGTGTATACCTACAGGATAGCTCACTACATATAGGTACGGAGGTGAACGTGAATGCGTTGGTGTGTGCTAGAATGATCGCTCATGTTATCGCTGCCCTGATCGTGATCGCGGCCGTGATCGCACCAGTGTGCGTGTAGCTTTATACCTCTGTGGCGTATTCATATCTTCATAAAAGTTCTATGTGTATTTCGCCACTGTAGCAATTCTACAAAATAAAATGGTTATTTTTTTGTAAACTCTGCTGAATTAATCCATCGGAGGCCATCTTGTCAGCAGTGATTCACTAATAAACTAATTTGCCTAACTGGCAAAAAAATGCGCTCAAACATTTCGGGAAGTCTATCTCTTCCCGTCGTCGGAAGCAAAAAAAAAACACAAAGAACAAAGAAAAAACTATTTAAAATATCTAAATTCAACTATTCAAGAAGACTTCAGTTTTTTTCAATAGATACGTCTATAAAAACCGTTGATTTTCTGTTAAAATGACATCAAGTTAAACTACAAAAATTAATACTTACTATCTGATAACAATTAGATACTTATAGAGGTAAAACCAAAAAGCTTCAAACTTTCTGTGTGATTATTTTTTAATTGTTTTTAATTTTTACATAAGTTATGTTCATTAAAATCAACTAAAATTTTACTAGAAGGAAAAAGTGATGAAGTGAAAGTTACTGAAGCATTTCAATAATTCCACTCATTCTTGGGCTAAGAAAATCTATTTTAAAATGAAATTTGGATAGGTGTGACTATTGCACCGATAAACCAAACCAATATATTGACGTACCAATGCTGGGTATAGCAATGGAAACAGCAACCTGTAAGGACTGGTCATGTGGGTCATTTTGTAAGCTGGGCCCACCAGAATAAACAATGACACCATGCTCTTGGCCACTCTAGGTCTTTCTGATGCGAACATCATGGCGGCTGTTGATGCCAAGGAATGGCCAATATAGATTATTTTATGAGGTGATCCTGAGTAATGTCGTACCGTCTGCAACATAGCCGGTACATCGTAGAGGGCTATATCATCCACACTGAAATTCAAATCAATTATACAGGTTGACTCTTAAATACGTGCAAATATTTTGAGGGTTGGTAGATCTCGATAAAAAACATATTTTCTCTTTACCGTTTTTCAAATAACTCCAAAATAACCGAGTTATTTCATTTTAAAAATCCAAAAAAACATTTTTTTCTTTAAATTTTTAGAACCAATGGATCTTTTCTGGGTTTTCTTTCTTGTGAATTTAATCTACTACCTATGTTGATGTATTATATGTATATATTAAGAAATATTATATGTATATATTAAGAAATTCTGTTTTTAACTAAAAACTAAAAAAAATCGAGTTTTTCTATTTTTTGGCGAAAAAATCCTCAAAGGCATCGTGTATTAGATTTAGAACCTTTTGAACGGTCTTCAAAAAAGACCTGATATTATTTTTTCATTTATTGAAGTTATTGAAGGTGAAAGTTCAACTTTAAATCGTATATGATAACTTCCGCAATTTTTATATTTTACTACGAAATAATAACCCAAAAATTAAAATATTCTAATTTTCGTAAAGTTTATCAAGCTTTCTTTGGTAAAACATTGAAATTAAAATAATTATTAATTATCACTAATTATAGTAATTAAAAATCATCCTAATTCAATATAGTCATTTGTTTTTTTCCATAGCAACTGTTAAAATTGCCTTATATCTATCAAAAATAGTAGATAAAATAGTACTTTAACCGCAAGAGTAGATTAAATGATACTTTCACAGCGAGGATAGGATAAAAACTTTATGTATTAAAAATATTCAAATTATAAAGAATCATCATTGTTATTTGTATTCATGAATGCTTTGAGCTTGCTATATATCCAAAGTTTAGATGTTACTATACTACTACGGAAATTTAAACGGTATTATCCTTATTTTATCCTATTACCTATGCTATTACATTGACCAGTATTGTACTTTTTAGCATTGAATAGTACGACCATAAACTGGACAGCTGCATTTTCTTTGGTTTTTCAGAAAAATACGCTAAAAGCATGTTTTCACTTGATCTTTCTTCTCGCACGTTTTTTAAATGCTTCCATTTTTGAAAATATTTGTATTTCTTTTCGTTAACTTTCTAGAGCGTTATATTATTTAATTGGAAACGATTCCGCCGAGAAAATATAATTAAAAAGGATAAGTGGCCCGAGGGAAAACTTTTCCCCGTTCAACTTTCAGATTTTCATCGTAAACAATAAGTCGGAGCCGAGAGTACAAAAGCCGGGCGGAACTAGCTTGTTGAATGTTCTCGCCTGAGGCTATCGCTTCGGAAAAGTCAAGTTGGAGGAGTAGCGGACAAAGTTAAGGCATATATACTGAGACGGCTCCACAGAGGCCAGCTCTCCATCCTCGACATCAGCTGTATCAAAGTTCATGAAACGCATGATCGTCGTCTCGGCGCACTCAATGATAAGGTGTTCTGATGTTTCCCCATTTTCCCCACAGAATCTGCATTCGCCGTTGTTTCTCAGCTTTTCCTCTTCCAACTCGCGATTTTATCGCTCCTGAATTAATCTTTTCGGTCGACGATAAAATACCATTTTATCGTCTTGTATGTATATAAAATAACTATTAAACTACGACTGTGTTTGTTTTATCTTGCCTGGAGCCCAATACTTTAAGTTTTAGTGTAATTTGGTTTCCTCCAGTGAAATATAAAAGAACCCATGACTGTTTTATTGATGAAAAGCTGCCGTACGCAAAGGACAATATAGCTTTATACATATTAATTTTGAGTATTAACTAAATCTGCTACACCTTCAATAACTTTCAAGCGAGTCGATTAGATGAAAAATCATCACACTTTTTTTGAAGATTGTTCCTACAAGAATTGGATGTTTAGAACAACACGCTGATTTGTTATTCAAAAAAAAATCTCGTGTTGGAAAAATAGGAAATACAAAATCACGATGAGACATCTCTTAATACTAATATTAAGAGCAACAAAATTTTACCAGAACTTTTTTTCATTATCGTGAACGATATTTTAACGGTAACTAAAATACACACATCCAAACTTATATGGAATCATTTATTATTTTTCGTAATTTTTGAGACGTATGAAAATTTTGTGTTTATGAATAAAACTCAGTCCTTACAATGACTTTTAATGAAAATTAATTCATATAGCAATAGAAAAATTAATCGGTTCCAAAATAAACAAAATAGTATTTTTTGGTTTCTGAAACGAAATTAAGATTTAAATTTTTAATGGCCAAAAAGCAACCAAACCAAACCAAAACAAAAAGAAAACTGATAATTTTAATATTGCTTGTTGTCACCTCTAGCCCTTATGCAAGCTTCTATTAGCGCTGGCATGCTTCTTATTAAATTATCAACGTTGCCTTTTTTTGGGGTATGTTTTCCCATTCTGCTAATGCTGCATCAATAAGCTGTAAACCCTCCTTTTGAGCTAGTCTCACAAGTGTTCGATAGGGTTTAAATCTTGTGAACATGCAGGCCAGTCCAAAACTATGAAACCTTCCGTTTCAAGACATTCTCTAGTCACTCTGCTGGTATAGAGAGGTGCACTATCGTACAAGAAGTTAAAATTATATCCAATTGCAGCTCTCCAAAGACTAACCATTGGGTCTAGCACCAAGTCAACGTATTTCCGACCCGTTAAAGTTTGTTGAAGTGGTAAGAATGGAGTTTTTGCTCCCAGTATAATACCTCCCCAGAATATTATAGTTCCTCCTTTATATCTTGGTACAGATTTGGCAGCCTGAAGTCACGCTCGTCTTTCTGGAGCTCTGAGAACCCGAATTCGATAGTTATCTGATCTTAGGCCAGTTCATGTCTCATCCGAAAAAAGAATATTTGATTGAAGGCATCAATTTAGCCGGTCAATTTTATTGTGCCGAGATAACTGTGGGATCCGTAACTCTCTCCTACAGTAAAATCCTCGAGCACGAAGCCCTTTTGTTATGGTTTTAACTAAAACGTTCACACCTGTACCTGCCTGTCTTTCTAGCTCTGGATGAGAAACATTGGGATTTATTCTAGCAATTTGGCCAACAAGGCGATCTTGTTGTTCAGTTGTGACTCTTTGACGACTTTGTCTGGGCCTATTCTTGTGCCTTCTTGGGCGTATTCTTGTGCCTAATTCCAAGTACCTTGCATATGTTTTAGACACAACACCCTGGGTAACGCCTACTATCTCTGCTACGTCTCTTTGGAGCAGGGACGGATACAGGAATTTATTTTAGGGGGGGGGGTCCCAAAACAAAAAGTAATGTAGAATGTGCTTTTTAGGGCGCCATTTTTAATCCAAAAGCTTGAGATTTAACCCAATTTACAGATTTTAGAGGGGGCCCGGGCCCCATGGACCCCCCTCTGTATCCGCCACTGCTTTGGAGCATTCCTTGTTCGGTGAGAGCAATAATTTTTTCCCTCTGTACATCTGTTAATCCAACATAAGGGATTTTTTTGATTTTTTTGGATCGAATGAAAATTACCGGACAATCGTGATTTTACTACTGAACACAAAACTCAAAAGAAAATAAATCGCAGCAGTCGTTTATTCTTTATTATCATGTTTATTTAAAACAAAAAGCCTTATCTTAAAGTCGTATACCAATTTTTATCCTTGCAAGAAATTTAGTCGGAAATAAAGAGTGATTCCATATAAGTTTGGTTGTGTGTATATATTTTTTTTTGGTGCACTTAATGTCTATGGTAGTACTTACATATACAGATTATATAGCAGATATAATAATTTTATTATAAGTTAGATTACGTAGTATAACATAATGTTTTTACTAATGTATACATAAATTTCGACATTTTTTCGGACTGTATTTAACTGTTAAAACGGTTGTTAGAATTATTATCCTAATTTTTATCCAAACGTATAAGTTAATGGTCTTAATAATAATTTCATATTAACATACTGTTATTTTATAATAAAAACATAATGTTAATTTCAGCAGTTTTTGTCTCACGCAAGGTCTAGAGCAACCCATTGCTAATTATATTAGAAAGTTATTCGACATATCTGTGTAACGCATATAACATTCATAGGAAAGAGTAGTTATTGCTTTTCAATCTAATTAATTATTCTATGGACACTTAATAGTAGGTAATTTATTGCAGATTACTTCAGATTTTAGATATCCGTTTGATCGAATGAAATAACAATAATTATTAAAAGAGTACCTACTTATACCGCATGTGTCAATACAGCGTGTACCAATGCATGACATGCCATACCAATCCAGTATACTAAGGGCTGGCAAAGGTTAGTTTTGGGTCGAGATTTCTAGAAACTTCTATGTCCCACTAGTAAGTTTTCCGGAACCGGAGCTGTTTTTCGAAACCGGAAATTTCGGTACCGCACCTCTTAGGAACCGGGATTTCCCGTTTTTTTCGGTACTTTCGGTACTGACTAATTTTTGTTCAGTGGTGGTGCAATTCATCAATCAGAAAGCAAGGGATAGTTTTTCGAAGTAAAATGGATAAAAATAATATCAAATTATTAAGTCATGAGAAAGTAAACATGAACACAAGCGAAAAAAAAAGAAAACACCTAGGTAGCTTAAAAATTACATCAAACAACATCAACCAACCTTGAACGTAAATCGCAACCAATGTACGTAAATTAGAAAAAAAAACTTAACATTTTCAATTAAAGATGCAAATGCCTATAAAAACTCAACACAAAAAAATATAACTAATACATTCAGCAATATTATAGTAAATAATAAAATAAAATATTTAAACTTCAATAATTATTCATAAACATTATAGAAACTTTAAAATAACTTCAGAGGTAAGAACAGTAAGAGATAGCGTCACTATTTATTTAGAAGAGTTTGATTTCGACCGCTAGAAAATATCAAAAGCGTTTAGCAAGTAACAAAAAATATGTTTTTAATTATTATTATCGAGTCTCGAAAGTACCGAAAGAACCGGGAATTAATAATTTCGAGTCCCGGTTCTTTGATGTCTCAAAAGTACCAGGAATACATTCATCATACAATCTCAGG